TCTGGTGTGGACCAATCAGTTTCAAGATAATGCATATATTATCAGAGTATGTTTTTTGTTTGCATTTTGACCACAAGTATTGTGGTTAATGCAGACATGATTCCTTGTAAAAGTTTCAGTTTGGTTTTTAACAACTTAACACCTGTTTTGTTGCCAGATAAAAGGGGAAAAACCTATTCTGATGATCATATCAGTAGGAGACTTCAGTGATGGAAATTAGGGTTCTGTTTTCTAAATAATGCCCAGGGCACATTGGCAGTGGTAAAAAAAAAATCGTTCTGTACTTCAGACAAAGTACAGTCTATGGTACCTTAAAACCTCAATGGGATTGCGATGTCTGATTTTTATATGTGTGTGTATACGACCTTTCTGGATGATTCAAGGGCAGAAACGAACACACATCACCGCCATACCTCATGATCCTGCAATGCCACAGTCCAACTCGTTAATGCACGTGGGCCGATCTCTTTCCCCATCTCCACAGTGGTCGTCCCCCGTATGTCTTCCCGTCTTCGGCTGCCAAGTCATCATCAGCCATATAAATTCGCCTTCATGCCTTGAAGCGACATCTCATGCTTAAGCCCACCTACTTTCATGAGTCGTTAATATGGTGTCTCTCCCTTGTGATTATTCCTCTGATCCATGTATTTCTCTGGGTGATATTTCTAGCATGCATCCATGTCATGGCAAGTAATAGTCACTGAATAGTCACTGAATGAAAACTTAATTCTCTAGGTGCATTTTGTGCTGATTTTCATTATCACATTAATTTTCCAAAAGCACTCCATCCTGTTCTTGTTTGCCTCTGTATTTAATTAGTATAATCCTGGTTTGCTTTCAACAATTTCCCTAGATTTATATATTTCGTTGTGTTTTGCACTGTTGTTCCTCCCAACAAATATTACATTTTTGTTCAGTGGACTTGTTTGTGACATGTTTTTTTTGTTGTCCAGTATTTACTTTCAGCCCCACTTTGCAGCCTTCTTCGTTTCTACAAATGATTTTGTCATAGGTCTTGTTAGTTGACTTCCACAGTGCTATGGGTCCATAAACACATTTTTGTCAACACAAGAACCTCCTCAATTCTTACGTTTCAGCAGCAGGAGGCATCACAATACATGGACGAGTAAACCACGCAAAGCAACCAAAGACTTTTCGTATCGAGCTACGTTGTAGCAATCAGGATACTCATCAGGACTGCGGATGGACGTGTGGTACCACGCTTGTCACCTGAACAATAACAAAGAGATTCTGATCGAACAATGTGAACACACGCTACGGCACACACGCCGTAGGCAAGGTTTTAGTGTCAGAGTTCACTTGAGGTGACTGGACAGCTTCCATAGTATCTTCAGTCTGAATTATTTGTTTATAAACCAGACGGTTGCTTCAGTTTCAGTTTTCAGTTTCAATTATTTGGTATAGCCCTGTGAGCCACGAGGCTCTTGACTCGGGTCCAACCGCAACAAACAAAAACACGAACAAAGAACATGTTAAAGCGACGATGCGCAGCAGAAACATCCAGGAAAAACAAGTACAATCTTCCAGAAAAAAGCACCGCATATCAACGCTGTGTGCAAAAATCCCAGTGGGATGCAAGTCAAACAATAACAACCACAAGACAATTTAGATAAAGTTATCAGGCTAACTCCGTACTACAACAAACAAACATGGCTTAACCATACATTTTCGAAATCACCAAAATAAAGCTATGAAAACAATGTAACAGTGATCATAGAAACTGTGATTCAAATTTAACAATAAACAATATACATAACATGTACAACCAAACCTTGCAGCCATAGCTGGAGCATGAGTCACTCCATAACAGCAGGAGTATCAAAAATTTCAATGCACCTTTAAAGATCAGCACACTATAATCAAATCCCAAGATCATACTTTGCAGTGGACATCCGGAGCGGTGCATTTGATTTCAGGCCACTGAACAGCAGTGGCAGCGGGGGGTGTACAACTCCTCTAGAGCAGTTTTGAGTGAAGATCTCGCAGGTAGTGATCCAAGTTGCAGTTTATTGGCGATAGCATTCCAGACCCTGGGGGCATCAACAGCAAAGGCCCTTCCTCCGGTTTTTGTACAGCAATAAGGAATGTGAAGCTGGTAAATGAGCGAAGACATTAGGTCACATTTGTTCTTCAAAACAGTGAGGAGATCCAGCAGGTAGTCTGCTGATTTGTTTGTAAGTACATCGTGAATAAATAACAAGCTTGTGTTGGCGATCGAAACGTCGGCGATGTTTTTTTGTTTAGTTTTATTAATTTGAACCTATCTACGTGACTTTACGGAAAGACCCAAAGAATATGAATTCCTGCAGTCACGAAAGCTTTAAGTCAAGATGTGAAGGATGTTCAAACACCAAGATGATGACAAGTAACAATAGGTTTTACCCTTGAGTCTATCCCCAGCACTTCCTGCGCGTCTCCAGGTGTACGACCATGCCGACCTTGTTGTGCCACGCGTCTTGGCCAGACTTCGTGGGAGCAACCTCTTTCACAGTGACAACCAGAGTTCAGCTCGTTCGTGGTCTACTGCCTCAGCCACGGAGTGCCGTGGACGCCAAGATGTGCCGGTGATGATGTCCCGAGTAAGTCTGCGCATCGGGCACGGTTGGCTACATACTGTGTGAAAGAAGTTCAACATACGGATAGCGATGGATCAATTATGTGGCGACCTCACAGCTCTCTCTCACAAACTCCCAGAGCCTATTTTGCAGTTGTACATTTTTAATAGAAGTTCAACAACAGCTACAACACAAACACCGGTGGTGCAGAGTGTGTATCGATTGTTTTTCCCGAAGAGAGCACACACTCTAGCTGGCTCCGACTCGGCCACATCCAGTGCGCGCATCATCTCAAGTACACAACAGTGCTTTCACGTGACAACTAATTACACGCTTTTGGCTCTAGTCCAGTAGCGGGGGCCACAAACATGGCAAACTTTATATAGCCTTGGCTTCCCATCAATAAGATTTGGCTCCTCCCCGGTTCCAGTCAATTTGGCCTGAAGGTCAGAAGCGAAGCCGGCGAATCTCCCATTAGTGGCCTATGTGAGAACGCCTTTTGCAAACGTGGCTAACTCCACCGACAAGTGGAGGTACAGCTGTCATCAGCAAGACTGAGGTACCCAGGCTCCAGGACGTTGTAGGCATTCGCCCGCTTCACCAGTGTGCTGTTGTCCTCGAGTTCCTCTCATTGCTCGTTGATGGGCCAGCCACAGCAGCTTTAGTTTTGATGGGTTTGCAAAGACTCAATAAGGCTTCTTTGATTGTTCATTATCCAGCCTCCACTTCTCGACACTTTGGGAACCCGGGGATTCCAAAGCCGTGCCTGCACGACCCCTCCACGCCTTCAACGAGTGGTCGTCGAGTGAGCAGAGCTCTTCACGGCTTCACAGCCAGGCACATCTCCCTCAAACAGCACCCCTCGTGATTAAAAAAACTAAACATGTGAAAGAGAGCTCGCAACGGGAGGAGGGTACTCGCGAGTGGTATTTGCATCCCTGCAGGCTCCTGTTGCCACCATGTACGGTGCGTACGCGAGCCAACGATCAACTGCTGCTGCCCTACATCACGTGGCCATTGTGGCCATGTGTGCCCATCTACCGGCGACAGCCACGAAATCTGGGAAACCTCTCCAGCACATGGCCCGCAGCAAGACTGGGGACAGCCCTCGGTGCTTGGGCTACACCACAGTTGTGGCACAGGTGACCCGCGGTGTTCATATCGTCTTTGGCATCAACTTTTTTTCTTTCTTTTTAGGACCAAAATTCCCATCGAGCGGTCGATCCAGAAAACCGTGACTGCAAGGTGGTGTCAAGATGCACCTGGCGGCTCACTGGGCCCTCCTTAAATGACGTCGGTTCCAAGTCTCAAAACGGCGAGCTCACGCACACGTCGCCATCTCACCTGGAACTCCCCTGACCGCCGCAGCTTTGCATAAATTCCTGCCAAAAGATTTGACAACGCACCTTTATCAACTTGGCAACAACAAAAAAAGCTATGCTACGAAAGAGTATGCTACGTATACTTACAGCAATTCTAATTAACCTCACTTGGCATTTGCTTTGCTACGTTATTCAGCCTGACATTGTGAATGACATTTCTAATTAAGATCATCTTCGCCGAGCTAGATTGCGATTATTGCAATGATTTTTTGCATTGCACAAGTGCTACACGAGTATATGAAACGTCAACTGCAGTAGTTTGTCATGTACAGTGCACAAAGTAACTCGTTAAATCCTGGATATGCAGGTTTTCGCAGGATGCTCTCACTTAATTATATCATGCTATTTGAATAACATTTTAATAACAGGAAGGAATGGATTAATGGAATAAAAAATAAAACCAAAACATCAACAAAGTTCATAACTGTTTTCGCAGCATTTTGTTAAATAAAAAAAAAATATCCACCAGATTGGAACATACAAAGATGACATTTGTAATACTGGTCCCCTTTAAATAATCTATTGTATCGTTGTAGGCATATTATAAAATATCTACGCATCAGTACACATTTACTATTCTCTTTGGTTCTATTCGGTAAAGTCACGTAGGTAAAAAAACACGTGACTTTACCGAATAGAACCAAAGAGTATGGATCCTTGCAGTCACGAAAGCTTCAAATCTAGAACATTTACTATACTTATGGTAATCTAAAATCCAATATAAAACGCCCTTATGATGGAATATTTAAAAAAATGAAAATTTCACAGTAAATTTCTACCAATGGTTCTGAAATTGCTTTCGGACAACACATTTTCATCTAATCTTCTTTAACAATAACAACCGAATGACCTTCAATTTCAATAATTTGCTAAAAGTGCACTGCATGTTTCAGCACACATAAATATTCAACCAACCCAGTAATCTGAAATGTTGTGATGGGAATACAGCCAACTATCATGAAAGATAAGCACTCAAAATATGAAGCATCACACATCAAGAGACATCTCACACAATGCAACCATCACACATAATGCAACCAGCAAACATTGTGCTGTAGACGTCGATTTATTTCGAATGCCAAAAAAAGACGAAACAATTTCAGGTATATATAGAGTAGGAGTGCGTTTGTTTTTTGCTTTCTTCTTACTCTTTACAAAATATAAAGTTACACCAACAGTAAAATGATCAATAAACATTTCGGCTTATCGTGTCGCAGGATGATAGTGCCGACTTGGGGAGGCCTTCAGCTTGTTAATGATTATGATGAACATTTCAATTCAGATTTTATTTTCCCAAACCATGGCAGTAAAACTCTTATCCACAGCCTTCTTATCTCAAACTCCTAATTTCCAAATGGTCTGGCTGATCCACAATTCTTCCCTAACAGGAAGGCTGTATCGACAACAATGGAAGATTATGTTTTGTGTTGTGGATGTTGTTCTCTGTACTGTTATCTCCGGTGAGTGAAGGTGCCGCTGCTTCCACGGGGAACACACAGGCGTATCTCGCTTAACGAACGTTCTTTCTACGAGAATTCGCCACAACGAGCATTTTTTATTTGTTGGCAAAGCGAGCAAAACTTTGCTTGGCGATGGAACACTGATTTAAAGCTTTCGTGACTGCAAGGATTCATCTTCTTTGGTTCTTTCGGTAAAGTCACACAACACAAGTGGCCTTCATCAGGTGAAGGGACGAGACTGTCTGGAGGACAGCGCTGGAGCGAAAAAGCCACGCTCAGATCGCGACCTTTAAGCTGTGTGAGAAGAAACAATGCGCCTTGACAAAGGAATTAGCATAGAATTTAGCAGCTATTTCAATGCTAAATTCTATTATCGTTTAACGAGTCTTTGCTTATCGAGCCAATTTCATGCAACCTATCTTGCTCAATCAGCGAGAAGTGTCTGTACACTGCAGTACATTGCATCGGATTTAAAATGAAGGCTATTATCCACCGATTTTCACAGGTTAGCCATAGATAAGTCTTTAATATAAATACAACTACTTTTAGCCATGAATTTGTCTTTGAGAGAATTTCCTAACTCCAATCCTGGCAAAGGAGAGTTTTACTGCACCAAGCACTCAAATCGTCAACGTCTGCCAGTGTCTCGTACAACCGGTACTAGAACATAGCATAAAGTGAGAATTACTTAAATGTTCTAACAACACAGCATCATTTGTAGTCGTATAGCTCTCTATCATTTAACATTGAAATATCCTTATTCAGCAGCAGGTAGAGAGCATTGCACAAACAATTTTAAAGCCCTTATTTAATTCCACTGTTGGCCATAGTTTGTGCCTTGCACACACCCTTGCCTGCCACTTCAAAGGGCACACCCTTGTAGGTAGCCACGAACTCGCCATTAGTCAGGAGATCTGGCTGCACTTGTTCCCAAATCTTTTTCTTGGGGTTAAGCTCCTTGTCTGGCTCACCTGCAAATAAAATACAAACAATGGGTTATGACATGGAGGCAAAGACAATGGTTCTTAAATAAAGTCAGCAAGGCATGGGGCATATGACTAAAGAGACCGAAAGAACAATGTTAAAGCGTGCCGAATAGTTCCAATGTGTACTATTCACTGCTGGTTATGAGTGGAGGCCTGTAGAATCAGATGTTTTTTAACCCCATGCATTCAAACCTCAGTCACAACATTATGCTAGAATAATGAAATTAACTTGACATCCTTCCACTGGAACAGAAATTCTGACTTTGCACACACTAAAATTTGCATGTAATAAGTACAAAATAATGTAGAGTTATACACGTGCATACTTTGGCTTTAGCTATTGGGTCATGACCATATCCTTCTTCACCAATATCTCCTTGCAGTGGCTTCTCCACGTTTCCCTGTTCATCACCAATGTTTGAACAGTTACTATGCAATACTTTTTATGAATACACAAAAGTTTACATGCAATGACTAAATCCCCAATTTTATTAACCAGCAAAAACGGTGAAAGTTATGATCAATTCCTTTTAAAATAAAATGCTGCTTTAAAAAAAAAGAGTGAATATCAGTGACTCATTTACTTAATTAGGAACATTTACTTAAATTGAGATACATATGCAATAACATCGAATACTTTCCTCGGCAAAATTAATGTTGTGATATCTGAGAGGCGATTACCGCTGTTCGGCCATGTCAGACCGATGCCAGAGAACACTCTGGGGCCCCGGCCGCCCATCAGCTGCGTGTCACGTTGAGGCTCAGTGAGGCCAGGTGGCAATTTAAAACGTCCAGTTGTCCATCACACCTGGCCGCGTCAGTTTGAGACCGACACGGGGTCCTCTGCTCCGCAGGCACGGACTTCTATGAGTGACTGGCTGGGACAGAAGGTGCTACAACCCTTTGCCAATCAAGTGTAATACTTGTTGTTACTGCCAGAAAAAAAATCAGCTGCAGATGCTTCAGGTCAGAAGCAGAATATGTATTTCTACTGCAGGAATCCGATGAGCTCTAAAGCTCTTTTTTCACAGATGTCCAAGTGATTGGCTGAGACCTACTGCTAGGTCTACCTGTAGGTGAGCTTACCTGGGTACCCTTTGAAGGTAATGCGGTCTCCAGGAACAGCCCCAGCCGGGGGGTCCAGGATCTCTACCTTGTCGGAGGAGCTGGCGCACATCACCATGGCCTGCGACAGCACACCCCGCATCTTGGCCGGCTTGAGGTTACACATCACCACAATCATCCTGTCCTGCATCTGCTCCCAACGACAAAACAACCATATCTCAAAAGCAAAATACATTTAATAATTTATTGTTTGATGTATGCGTACAGAACCATTCCTCTGCAACGGAAAATAAGAGACAGCTGACATTTTCATACTCTTTACACAATCCTGTACTCAGAGCAATAAAAAGGCGGTGTTTTTTAAACGTAATAAAATTCAAGATATTATGTACAAGGATCCAAAGCTATGCACAAGGGATGCATTTCTGGAAAATGTTACCAAACTCAAAATTACTTTAAGTGAATTAAAATTTCTCATAGAAATGTTAAAATCAGGGGTTGCGTTCCTAGCCAAAGTTTCTGGAAAAAAAAATGCGTGACTAAATGTCATGAAGTGTACAAAAATGCATACGACTGTAAATAAACGTACATTTAAAATAATAATGGGACTAAAGCAGCTCCACCGTGTCCAACTCCTCCACATTGTCAAGCCAAGATTCCCGCTGCCATGTGGAGGTTTTTGGTGGTACGCGCTAGGCGAGTACAGTAAGGCATCGCATCGCAAAAGTCCATTTTCACCGTGTGCTTTCCTAGTTAAGGAATTGCGTGAAAAAATGTTTGCACAATTTTAAAAAGAATGCATATGCGAAACATTAGAATGAGTCAACAATGTGTATGCAAAAAACGCGTAATGCGGCAATTTACATTGGGGGATTCCTGTATTGTGAGGTTTTTATATTCTAAAGGATTTAAAGAATATTCAGGTGAAATAATTACATCAATAGGAGCACAAAGCTAGAGCAAGGTTTAATTACCCATGCCAGTCTTCTGTTAATCCCACCTCTTTGGCGTCGCTATTTTTGTCTTTCGAACTTCTTCTGCCCCGCTTCAATTTAATGTTTATTTGTTAAACACAAAATCGAATTGAGCCAGTTACCCAGCTAATTTCCATAGCAACAGCACACCCCCACTAATCAATAGTTATTGTTGGTGTGGTGAGGAGCCCAGCCAGCATCCAGCAAGAAAACTTGAGGCATAGATTATTTTAAATAGTAGTAAGGTGTGTATATAAAGAGGGGGAAAAAATACAATTCAATTTAAAAAGTGACATTTAAATTTCAGTTTGTGAAAGTCATTGTGTTCCACCTAGGTACCAAAATGAAATTAGCATTATGACATAAACATAAAAAAAAATGTATCCTCCGTGGAGTAATTAATTAGTCAAATAGGACTCAACTATGTAGGTCTGTGAAAATTGGAAAATAGCACAAGTGTGCCAATACTTGAAAACAAAACATTTATACTGGTAGGAACGAAGTTGTAAACTGAGTGTACCAGCCTGCAATAGATTAATGTGTCCGTCCGTCCGTCCCCTTTCAATACTTTAATGAAGTGAAATCTCGTGCTGTTGGGTGTAAAATCTGCAATAGACAGCGCAGAGACTTGTCCTACCAGCCCACCCTGCAGGGACCTGTTATTCTATTTTGGCACCAAAATGTTCAGACCCAAGAGACTTATGTACACAGTATTAAAATATAATACACACATGCATTTCGGGTTTCATAATTCAACACATCCCGGTGATGCGACGAATTATCTCTCTTCAGGGTCGCAATTCGATTCAAAAATAATTTTTAAGCAATGCAGTAAATATAGCAGCCACGAAGTTGCTGCAGGGGCCACGTGAACTCATACATGCAACATGCACAAACTGAAAAACACATTTGTACGCACACAATTCCATTGGATGTACTTAAGTGGAAAAAATCTATATTAATGGGTGAACTGATGACAGTAGAAGCTGCATATAAGCACAGTTCTAATAAGCAACACACGCTAACATTACACTGGCGAGGGGGAAAGCAAAGAGCAACGTTTGATGAGCACATTTCGGATAAAAGCATTTCATAAATGACGTCACGCGATTTTTGACCCCCCCCACCTTCGTCACACGGCGTCACAAAAAGTCAGAGCCCCCCTCCAATATGACGTCACAAAGCTCTGCCCCCCCCTCCCCAAACAAAACATGCTTCAAATCGCTTTAAACTATTGTCATTGTAGTGCGTATTGAATGTGGCGCTGCACACTGTTGGAGGAGAAAACATTTATTAAAAAGTCTATTTAATTAAGTAGAACATGTCTATATTTATTTAAAGTTGCGCATTTTTACGTGACGTCACATTTCTCACCCCCCCCCCCCCCGCCATCATCACACATCATCACAAATGTCTGACCCCCCCCCACCCAGGTGCGTGACGTCATTTATGGACGGCCCATAACCCATTAACAATAACTTTTGTTCTCAACCAGAGCTTATAATGGCTTTAAAAACTTTCCCCATGGTTTTGCGACAAATCCTGAAACGGAAAACAAAAAAACTAACATTTCACACACACAAAGCAGCGCCCACTGAACAAGGCCCCACGCCCGGCGCACCTGCTCGAGGGGGATGTGCTTGACGAGGCCGCTGACCACAGTGCGCGCCGCTGCCTCCGCCACGTCCACCTGCTCCACGTACAGCGAGTCGGCGTCTGGGTGCTTCTGTGCCGAGACGATGCGTCCCACGCGCAGGTCCAGCCGGGACACGTCCACAGGACGAGCCGCCTCCTCCGCGCCTGCCACCTTCTTCTCCTTGTCCTTCTTTTCACCTGCAGCGCAGACATTAAATATTACCAAAGGCCGTTGCACGTGTCGCAATTCTCACGGGCTCTCTCGTCTTTTACGAGAGCGGTATCGTTTTTTGGCAACTGCAACTATGGGCAGTCCTCGACTTACGAACGGGTTAAGTTCCGGAGAACCCGTTCGCAAGTCGATTTGTTTATATCTCAGCAATCAATCTATATTTCGATTTAAAACTTTCGTGACTGCAAGGATTCATCTTCTTTGGTTCTTTTGGTAAAATCACGTAGAATGAGAATAAAATAGTAAATTGATAAAATAACACAATTTTCTCACGGCGTTTCGGCCACAACACAAGCGGCCGTTTGTGTTGTGGCCGAAACGTCGTGAGAATATTATTGTGTTATTTTATTTTATCAATTTATTATTTTATTCTCAGTCTACGTGACTTTACCGAAAGAACCAAGGAAAATCAATAAATAATCGTACGTACGGTCAGTGTTATGAAATGTGTTGTGGTTCAACAAAAATGTTTCAATATTGTTAAACTTGTACATTTGCATGTAATTCTGTAATAAATACTGTATAGTAAATAAAACATCAATAAAGTAACATAAAAACGTTTTATTTTCACTTACCCCGAGTCAAACGGTTCACTGTCATTGAGCATAATGCGGGATGATGCTGGGACTCATTACATCTCACGGAGGATCACTATCAAACCAAATAGTTCTGCGGTTCATGAGCACGAGCGAACGTTCGCAAGTTGAATAGTGAAAAATAATTACATCTTACGGCGGCTCTTTCGTAAATGTGGATGTTCACAAGTCGGACGTTCGTATCTCAGGGACTGCCTGAAGAGATTTTTAACCACATTAATCTGAAGGTGTATATTATAATCTGTTGTGTTTGTCCTTCACAGTGAGTTTATTCGTGCTCAACAAAAATAAATGTCATTTATATTCAATGGCAATTTTATTTTTGTAAAATAATCATATCTGCCACAAAATGTGCCGCAAACAGCAATCGATGCCCTGTGCAGTTGAACAACTGTAATGATGGAATATTTCCAAAATAAAAGATTGAATAAATGATTCCATTACAACATCTATTATTAAAAGTTACATAACATCTAAATGCAATCAATCAAGCGTCAAAACGTTTTACAACGATTGAAAAAGCCCCACAACATCAGGGTAAAATGGGGGTGTAGAGTAAATAACGGCAGGGACACATGGGAGAGAGGAGAGACGGCAACACAGCCCACGATGAAATGACTTGAGAGCCTGGCGACAGAAAAAATGAGGAGAGACAGCCAGGGCAGCAACCAGCAGAAATACCACTAATCAGTCCCAGGGCATCCAGTTACGTGGCCATTAATGTGGCTGCTCAATAATGTCTGTCTGCGCATGGGCACGGGTAAGGACTGTGCCAAGGCTGGCCTTCACTACAATGTCCAAGTCCCACAAGCCCTTTCTTTCCTGAATGTCATGGCAGAATGGCAGTAGAAATGAGCCAATGATACACTCAGCAATAGATATTGATAGTGAGCCTGGTTAACTATATTTGGTCATGATTGTGAAGCTAGCAGCTTAGATATAAGCTATATTCGCAAATTCGCAATAGAATCTCATTCTATTGCAGAATCTCATTCTATTGCATGAGAATCTCATCCAGGATGGAATCAGAGGACTTTCAACATAAAATGAACTGCAATCATAGTGCCCTATAATGTTGTGTTGTGCCTCTGAAAAGAAATGAAACGCGAACAGAAATGAAACGCGATGTAATTTTGTTATACAACACTGTGTCACATGTCATTAAGCCCTATGACACCCTCTGCATTTTAACTCTGTGATAATGTGAAAATTGTCAGTCAAATTAAAAGCATTTTTTTAGCTTTAGGTAAATACCCACATTTGATGTTTTCAATTGATGTGAACAAGGAGTTATTTTGTTTATCATACAATGCCTTGTTATATTTAAATCCTTTCCTGAAAGTCATTTCAAAACAAAAACATTAAAAAAATGTGCTGTTTCTTTTAATTTTCACAAATCAATTCAGCCAATATAAATGATACCTGTACATGTATATTGGCTTACTCTTGGGTTTTCTTCAAATTTGCAGTTAATTATGTTATATTAAAGAATGTTTTCACTTTTAAATGATTAAAGATTCTGAAACAAAGTGTCGATCAAGTGTTCTTTTTTTAATAAATTATACATTTCATCATGGGACCTCCTTTGCCAGGATCAAAATATAAGAATAGGTTTTCCCCTTTCTGGCAATAAAACAGTTGTGTTAAGATGTTAAAACAGCTGTGTTAAGATCTTAAAACACCAAATTGAAACATTTTGCAAGGAATCATGTCTGCATTAACCACTTGTGGTGATTCCTTGCAAAACGTTTCAGTTTGGTGTTTTAACAAATTAACACAACTGTTTTATTGCCATAAAGGGGAAAACCTATTCTTAAATTGTACGTTGTTAAATCGTCTCTCAGTGTAATTCTAAGCATGCACCTCTCTCCCTAACAATTTTTTCAACTTTTATTCCATTTTCTGCCCATGTTAAGGCAGGTAATATGCACCGATGGAAAACTGTATTCTTTAGGTGCATTACTCTGTTGCTTTTCATTTTCAAGTTCGGTTTTCAAAATACACCCGCTCTCAACCCCCTCGAAATTTCCTAATATTTATTCTGTGTTTTCCAGCTGTGTCCACACAAGATGTGTTAAAATGCCAAATTGTCATATTTATCAAATTTGCAGACTTCCTCATTCAGCACTTCAATAACTAATTTCCATTGTTGGTATAATTGCTGTTTAATCAGGAAATCTGACTAGAAAGCACAAAATATAGAGGGCACAATACAACATTGATTGAAGATGTCACAACAAGCAATTGGGACATAAAAATAAAAAGGTGATAGATTTCGATTTGAAGCTTTCGTGACTGCAAGGATTCATCTTCTTTGGTTCTTTCGGTAAAGTCACGTAGAATGAGACTAAAATAATAAAATAACACAATAAAATTATCACGACGTTTCGGCCACAACGCAAGCGGCGTTTTGGCCACAACGCAAGCGGCGTTGTGGCCGAAACGTCGTGAGAATTTTATTTTATTCTCATTCTACGCGACTTTACCGAAAGAACCAAAGAAGAAGGTGATAGATAATTGGCAATTCAGAAATATCAAACTATATCACATGTTCACTTTGAATGTCCTAGAAAAATCGGGACCAGTAATTTTCTTTCTTTCAACAAAATTATCATACATTTACACAAATATTTGCAAAGAAATGAATTCATAATAAAGGTTTTTGGGTTAGATCGCGTTATTTATAAATGTGTCATAACCCTCCACCACCCGACATTGCCAACCAATAAAAAAAATGTGTCAAGTTGACAAAAGACAAATAGTTATCTACTTTAGCCCACCGGTGTGTTGAAGAGTAAATCCACAACATTTACAATTTTTGAGTACGACGTGTCGCTGGTAATTACATCCAGCATCATCGGGCAATTTGCCAGAATAGTGAAGCCTTCCACCTGCTTCACTATTTAATGACCAAGGCATGGAAAGATGCCTTGGTCATTGTTTAGTTAAAATGGATGATGTAACTGAACTCAAGAATTATAGACCCATTAGTATCTCATCATCATGTGTAGAAATGTTTCACAAAGGTCATTTGGAAAACAAAAACTAAATATTTAAAGACCACCACCAAAATTAGCAAGTCAGGTTTGGGAAGTGTTTCTACCACTACCCACATACATACGATCAATCACATTCTGTGAAGAACTGATATATATCAAATACAATAATGCCTAACCTTTGTAGGAAATGGCAACGGAACGTGATACATTCATCCAAGCTCTCAAGACCTAGGTATAATACATTTAGATATAATTATAATCATTATTTAAAATAGAACATTGAAACAAAGACTGCATGCATAATTTAAAATACATGTTATGTGGGGTATCAGACAGAGATGCCCTTCCACCAAAGTTATTCAGAACCATTTGAATGTTTTCCAAAAACTGCAGTCGAGAAATAAAGGCAAAAACATAAATAATGATTATATGTCGGTGATTAGCATGAGCCAAAATATCACGGAGGGACAATAAAAGCCAACTTGTTTGTATGGAATCAATCTATACAGCGTCCTCAGCTTAGCCAGACCGTTTTTGCAGTGGTCAATGTGGTAAAACGTCCTGTCCCCACAAACCATTGAAAACTAAAAAAAGTGGAAACATCTGGCCAGAATATCTGAACTGTAAATGTCTGGAAATCACCTTTCTTCTCAGCCTTTTCTTTTTTCTTGTCCCCCGTGGGAGGTGGCTGGGCAGCCGCCTGGGGCGAGTCGACGTCCGAGGGGCTGGAGAGACTTTGAGACGTCTTCTCTGCGACAGTATCGGTGCCAGACTTTGACGGGGGAGTGACACACACCGTCTGCTGCGTGGGCAGTGGAATCTGCACCACTGCACGTGTCACCACCATCACGACACAAACAAAACTTCACTCAAAAACTCTCTATGCCAATATAATGGTATGACTGCCAGAACAATAACACATTTATTCTAATCTGTATTTTAATGCGATTTATATATCAATTTGTTTATCTCAGATGATCAGCATAGTGTTTGACCCTATGATAGCAAAGACACAAGATAAGAAATGTCATATGGGTAACGGCCTCATGAGAAAATCATTCACTGCATTATAAACACTTAGCGCTCAACATTCAACAACACATTCCAAAGCTGGGCAGTCGGGGTATTATAATTCACAACTTAAATGAATTATTGCAATTCAGCATAACGTTGCAGTTGAAAATTGTATTTTTATTTTTAACACATCAATGTAGCAGGCTCAGAATCTAGTATGCATGCGCTTCCTCCAGGTACTATGGTTTCCTAGCATGTGTTAAAAAAATAGAATAACATAAATTAATTATTGCTTTGGTAATTTGATTGGAAAAAAGCACTTACATCCATTCCTAACTTCAGCCGCAATGAGCTGCTGCTTCACAACTTCAATTTCTTGCTTTAGTGTTTCATTCTCATGCTGCAGACTCTCTTCTTCACGTTGCGACTGCTGCAACACTGCACAGAGTGGGGAACATCGTGTACAAAGCAAAGCAATGACCATCCTGGGTGGAAAAAGTAAAAGGTACACCCCTGCAAATGATCACTCACACCACTGCTGGTGGAAGGGCCTGCACTCAGGGGAGCTCCGTGACCCCGCTAGATGGTCTTTGGCCGGCTCTTCCATGCTGGCCACACACTGATCCCTACCACATGCGACCTGTTGATGAACTCTGCTGAACCCAATTAGTCCAGTGTGCTATCCATTTGCCCATGGCAGCATCCCCGGGGCGGAAAACCCAAACAAATTGTAAATACACGCATAAATACCGATTATAAGTAAAACTAAATCTAAACTGGAAAGGCCCGTCAACTAAAGGAGCCTCCACTTTATGGGATTCGATCTTACAAAGAAATATGCACTTGGAAATATATAAACGCACGTACAAGGGGCGTGCACCAGCTTCCACCCAACGTGTTCGCTTTTGAGCACACACACGTTAACTACGTTGGTCGGAATCATTATTTTCTGTATAAAAGCTTGTAGGAAATATTTTGTTGCCAAATTTGCACCAAAAACTGTAGTCATTGGTATTGATAAGCTGTGTTGCAAACTGTGTAGTGATTGCCTTTTGACTTGTACAGTTTCCATGAAAGTGTGTGAAGTGTCCTCAGATGCATGGACAGAGATTTTCTGGGCAGAGCAATAAGTAGCCTATTCGCTGCATAAAAAATCTAGACTTTTGTTACTTATAAGGTGGACATGCAAGCCAGAAAAACCCAGAAAATCAATACACAAGCAGGTAAGAGAACGCACAAACGCATCTTTCAAAGCACATCCGTCGAATATCGATATAAAATATGACTCTTAACTCTGGACTGAATCTACTTTTACATTATTAAATAATATAATTCTTCACAACAGTTAGTTAGATCTATATATGCAGTATAAGAACCTTGGCCACAAATCTGCAAAAGCCTTGGATGCAAAAGCATGAACATCTTCCATTACACTGTAATGCAATTAATTCATCAGAAATGTAAAATAAAAAAATGTACGCCTGTGGGCTAGCCAGCTAAATGTTCCTACTGACAATGTGTTGCTAACTGATCATGTTCTCAATACTAATTGTATTGGCAGCTTGTCCTCTAGACATAATATTGCATCCCGACAGACAAACCAAATAGTAAAGATTCTTAAATATACCTCACCTATTATATAGCAAGCACTTCACAAAAAAATATTTAAATATAAAAGGGCCGATTTCTTTATTTCTAAAGCTATTACAATTGAAGCATGCCACAGAATACGCTTTCATCAATTACCTTGTCCCAATTATTCTTTATCAGTTATTTATTTGCTCACTGCTAAACATGCACACATCTCAACATTGCAAAATGCTCATTGTATCTACAATTCCCATTTCCCTTGGACTTTATTTTAAATCAGATAAGTAAAAACTACTATAATCACCAAGGAATGTATGTCCTTAATGCTCGTAATGTCACTCCACATCAACCAGTCCCCCTCATTAATAATCATGAGCAGGTGACGTCCTCCACATAGGGGCAGAGGCACCTCCTCCCCCCTCCTTGCCGTCAACTTACAACCCTCACTACAAAGGCAGAACCCTTGTGTCACGCCATCTCTCTCAAACGCAATTGAGACATCAAAGTAAAAAGGACGTCATGCTGAACAAGGGATTATAACCTTCAAATGAAATATGTCTGTGTCACCGCGCCCTTACAAATTGCACAGGCATTAATGCAATGAATATCACATCGCACTGTTTTTCGCTTGCAAGTTTCAGATTTACTGCAATACACCCGTCCTTGGACGGGCAAAAGGCTAATGTTTAATAACTGTGCAAGACAATACCTTTGATGTTTGAGCTTGAACTACTGAGACTCCTTTCACAGCAATAAAATGTAAAAATTCGTGTTGTTTTTAGCAAGTTCCTGGGACACGTCTGCATTTTAATGCACATCAAGAGAAAAAATACTATTTGTGAATATTTTCTGAAATGCTTGGCATGGCTAGCTAATATTCCAATGAAATTCAAGGTTGGTTAATTGCACTGCAGCCTGTGGCCAAGAGGCAGAATCCTTCTTTGTAAGCTGGCAACAGAAATAGAGGAAGCATTAACGGCCTTTAAATCCACAAGGAAGTCAACTTTCTTCATTGACCCTGAAAGAAATCTTGGTTCAGTACGAACCTCAGAAATGTTTGGAATTCACAACATTTTCTTCTTTGTGACAGATTTTTTTTTCCCAACATCAACCCCCCATGTTATCATTTTTCATTGCATGCGGAATAAAAATTTAATTCATATTAAATTCATTGGCAATATTTAAATCTGATAGCGCAACTTAGATATCAGGGTGCAATTCGCATCTTGGCAAGGACAATTTAAACCTGGCAACGCACCATTTTGTCACGAAGCTGAAAGAGGCTTAAGGAATGTAAGTTATAGCCTTGTGGCCAAAAAACCCAATTCATAATTTGGACAGATCCACCACGGATTGAGCATTTTTGTATGATTTTCCATCCCTGGGGAAGGTGGCAAGCGGTATATGTCCTTGCTGTGACCATTTTTATTCAGGCACACCGAATGACTCAATTTGAGGTGAGTAGCAATTTACACAACCAGGGAATCTGCCAGACCTGGTGGCAGGTCTGATGTCGAGACTTTAATTTGAGTGCCTTATAGGGACAGACTGAGGCATTCAGAATTCGTACAGTATTAAGTAAATGTATCAGTATCATACAAGACTATAACGCTGTGAATTTAAATCGCCTTATTAGGCACACACCATGCCTCAACTTGATGAGCTTGTGGCACTTCTGATGTCACGATGCCAATTATGTACCCTCATTGCTTGGCACCACTTTGGCAGATCTTTGACATTTGCTCAATCACCTCGAATAATAACTCTCTGACATGAATGGGATTGAGAAGACTTGGCAGAAATCTAATTACATCAAGTGTTTTTTGCAGATCCGTCAAAGACTGCCAGAGTATGTGTATCATGCCTAAAGACTATTCTTTTAACATAAATTATCTACAATTTGCATATCACAGTATTTGGTGGTGAGACGTTAAAATATTAATGATAGCGTAAAGGTGCATCCCTGCAATTGCTTGCTTACATCACTCCTGGTTGAAGAACCTCCACTCGAGGGAGCTTTAGAGAACCCCTCAGTTATAACTCTTTGGTTCTTTCGGTAAAGTCACGTAGAAAGAAATTAAATTAAATAATAATAGAATACGACGTTTCGAATGCAACACAAGCAACCATCAGTATCTGATGATGGTTGCTTGTACCTGATAATGGTTGTAGTTCCTGCAGTCACAAAAGCTTCGAATCTAGTTTTTGCCCTCAGTTATATTTTGGCCTACTATTTCACACTGCCCAGACATCTCAGAAGAGACACGAGTATCCACACTTCACCCTACCCATGCAACCTGCCAATCATCTAACTGCTGGGTTAACAAAAACGGGAGGATATTTAAAATGCGCACGATTATTTCGCCTGCCGCCCCACAACATCGATTGTCAATCCAGCATGCTTATTACACTACAGATACATCCCTTTATCTTACCAAGACAATAATACACAACTCGATGTAAACCACAGGCCAAAATATGACATTTTTACTTTAAAAGTAGCAACCCACACATCTATTGAACACGACTGTCCGTCTGTCGCTCACAGTCAGCCAGAAAAACTTTTAATATTATACAGAGCCCCAGTCTCTCTCCAAATTTCTCTTGCCGCCTTCTCTGGAATGTACACCCACATTTATCTCGATGTCTCACTTTGTCTGTTTCTATCCGATTCTGTAATCCTGTCCCCTCTTATATCTCTCCCTCCATCTACATTCCTCTCCTCCGTCCATTGTATCTCACTCACTTCCCTCCCCCTATCTCTCTCCCCATTTCCCTCAAATGTCACCCTCGCTCTCGTTATTCCCACCCCTCCCTTTCCCGTTTCAACCTCTCTTGCCTCTCCCTAATCCTTCCTCCCACCGCTTGTTGCTATCCCTCACCGTACTCTTTCCATTTTGCTCTGTTTCATCTCCGTTTCATGCCCTTTCACTCTCTCCCTATGCCTTTCCGTTGCTCTGCATCTCTTCCTCCTCTATCTCACTCCCTCACCTCCATCCTCGATCTCTCTCCTCTATAGCGTTTGGCGTGAAGTCAGCACACACGAACCCATCTCGAGCCCGTGGGATGAGGCCGACGTCATCGCACTAATGTGCGAGGAATATGTCACTACCGATAAGAATCCAGGCAAGAATACAGCCGGCAAAACATGTTCTTATATAGTATGAAACACACAGCAATGTTTCCATGTGATACCACTGTGTGTAAAAGCCTCACCAGCTCTGTCCTTGAGTAGATCCACCTGCTGCTTCAGGTAGCCAATGATCTGGTCGGCCTCAGCAGCCCACCGCTCCAATCTGTCAATCACCGTGCTTTGCTGGGACATTTTAACAAGTGACCGCAACACAAACCTGGCTGCAGCACACGGGGAGATCAGAGTGAGAGAGTCTGCCAGTTTCACAGTACACAGACATGGGGGCTCACAAATCTATGTCTTTCCATTGTTGAATAAGGGCCTCACCGACTCCGTGCAGGTGGTGGGCTTTATGTGACCCATACTTTACCACACTGGTCTGTGTGGGTTGAAGGTTGGCAGTAAGGATGAGAGAGCATACATGTATGTATGTACAACGGTTTTAAAGCACTGCTGTCTGCACACCCTGAACATAGCCCCGCAGCAATCTATAAAAGTGGTTTATGTATGATCATCGCTCATCCAAAGATTATCCAGGCTCAATGCTGCTTAGCTTCTGGAATATGACAAGATCAGGAACACTGGGACATTTAATGTTAACCGTAATCAAATTTGTGGATTAATTGTATGCATTAAATTTATCATTGGGAAAAAAACACATCTCGTGACGAACAGAAACAAATAAGTGACACATTGTGAAACTACTGTATACAGATACATTTGAGTGTGTGAAACTACTGCATACTGATGTATTCATGCATTTCAAAATGTGTAGTTATTTGCACATGTCTGGATTTACAATGCATGCCTAAATCTGCACTGTAGTGTACAAAATTATATAAACCATACAGTACGGTGTGAAAGTGCAGCACTTGCAAGTTTATTTTGGCCATGCTTTTACTATACTAAAAACTTTCAAATTTAAATTACCTTTGCCTCATACTGCATGCTACTGAATACATCGTCAAAATGTTATAACTACATGAGCATCATGTAACACCATATGATAGCATTACCTATCAAAAAGCAGCTGTACGGTAGCACTCTGGGCCCCGTCACTAAACTACACCGAACCAATAGGACATTTAAGGTCCTGCACCTCCGATGAGCGTGGTTGGCTCCGTGCGGTGCGAAAGGTCAACATACATAATGAGGCAGGTTACACCAAGTACGATTTTACTGACACATTTTTCTCATTGGCATAAAAATTAGATTTCTCATTGCACTACAGGGTTTATCTGTAATGCACGGGCACATGTCTGTCAACTTATTAGGATTTGGAGGCCAAAGGAGGGATGTGCGTCAACAGTTACTTACTAAAGGTACATGTTGGGATGTGCAGTGGTGGGTACTACTATATGGTTTAAAGATCACCAAATGACTGTAGCACAAACTCTAAAGAGCAAGAGTTCCTGATTCTTAAACTGCACATCATTTACTTGCAAATGCAGCCGTTGCAGTAATGTCTGGGTATGGTGGCACACGCCTTACCTACCATTCAGCAAACCGAATTAAAACCTTTGGTGGTGAATGTGCAATGAGAATAAACGCCATGAGAAACACAAACACTCTCGACAAGAAGCCTGAAGGCAGCAGGTTCGGCAAGGTTGGTTGCTAAACTTTCCTAGTGGAGTGTCAGTATCCCCATATACATGTGCGCGTTTTCCTGCTACTCCCGTTTCATGCCATGTATACTTACATTCCCCGAAATTACTTGAGGTGGCGTCCGTTTCAAGTCGTCAATTGTAGAGGCGGCTTACGTCGGGGGATGCGTTCCTGAAAAATGCGAAGGCGAATATCGAAACAACGTAAATCAAACACAATTTACAGGGTAGGTGAAGGCGAAGGCTGAGGCGACGGACACGAGGAGGGACGGACGATGACGATGATGATGGGGTCATCGCCGTGTGGGTTGAGGCGACGCATATCGGGGTGGTGGTGGTCTTAATAGCGGGACGACGCAATGGGGGGTAGTTTGCCGCATTTGTTGAACCAGGTGAGAACGAGAGAGCAGGTTCACTTGCGAGTGACGTGGATCACCGCAATGACAAGAGAAAAACTAAAGAATAATGTACACTGTATGTTGAACTGCTTTCACACCTGGCGAAATAAAGCAAATAAAAAAGGCAAAACCCGCCGTCAACGTGAGAGGTTGAAACTAAATGATCACGCATCAGTGTTAAATTATGAATTTACCATAACGCAAGTCGACTCGGACGGGATCATTTTAGACCGATCCTCGTACAATTACAATTAAGTTCATCACAAAAACACGTTCGTCAAAAACATCTCCCTCGGATGAATAAAGTGAACACGCAACCAGAGGCACCACGACCAGTTCTTGCGCGTTAAATGCAAACTTTGGCTGTGCCCTGGGCTGTTTTAAAATGTGATTAAAGATTCTTGAACGAGAAAGGTAGTGTCAGGGTGAATGCGGCAACAACGACGATGATGACGCAATCACTGAAACAGCAACAAAACTTCACACGCGAATTAAGTTTCTCCAATTCATAACCAGATGAGAAACAAATTGAGACGAGAGATATTTTTTCCCACGGAGTCAAAGTGTCGCCCCTTAGCAAACTGCAGTCACGATGGAAATTCCACATTCCCGTGCCCAGGGGCAAGTCTATCCACAGCACCACTGTTAACTTTACACTCACTTTATCGACCGCCGTACAAGTTAGGGGGGTTATGAGGGGCCGCCTCGACCTCCAAACGTGCAGCCTTGGCAATATCACACGACCGTCCCTAACCCCGCCACATGAACGTAGAATGCCCAGGGCCACCAAAGGAGACGACTGTCGCCTCAATGCTCACTGAGGCAAGCAGCCAACGTGACCGGAACGTGTTAACAACGGTGTTGTTAACAACAGGCGGTCTCGCGTGTATCTTTATACCCTTGTAGAGTTCACTCGTAACACAGTGTAATTAACTAAGCCACGCGCTATCGCGGCCCGGCAATAGTCGCGCCGCTGTCAAACGCAACCAAGGCCATTTGATATCCACATCACTGGCGTGTGTTGAACGCGCACGTCTTACTTTAACTTCGGGACGTTTACTCGCGCGAACATCGCCTAACAAGACGCGAACCACTGCACGCGACGGGGCGAGCGGCGACTCACGCAGAAGCCTCTCTCGTGTAGGCCTCGCCGCCGGTGACGTCACGGCAGAGGAGTGTTTTTAAGTGGGGGGGGGGGGGCGTTTGGAGCTGTCCAGGACCACCCCCCCACCACCACCCCCCACTACCACCACCCCCCCACCACCACCCCACTACCACCACCCCCCCACCACCATCCCCCCACTACCACCACCCCACTACCACCACCCCCCACTACCATCCCCAACCCAACCACCACCCCCCACCATCCCCGGGGCGGTTTTTCGTTTCTCACCAATTCATGGTGGTAGTGGGGGGCGGCGTTGTGCCCGTGGGATGACATTCACACATTTGCATCCCACTGGGATTTTTGCACAGGGCGTTGAAATGCGGTGTTTTTTTTCTGGGAGACTTTGCTGTTTTTTTCCAGGATCTTTCTGTTGCGTGTAGTCACTTTAAGATGTTTCTTGTTCATGTTTTTGTTTTGTTGCGGTTGCAGCCGAGTCAAGAGCCGCATGGCTCACAGGGTTATCATTCCTGGAAATTAATTTACTTGTTGCACAATATAGAACTCAAGAACTAATGCTGCTCTTGTAGATGCACTATCAAATATAAATTAATTATTGTAATGGGTCTCTACTCCCCTCTCAGACAAGGTCTAGATGGAGGTAAGTGCAACCCCACATGTAGTTTAATCAAGACATCGTTTTTTTATTATTATTAACAAGCGCGCTTGGCATAGTTGAAGCTGGGTTGATGCCTTGTTTATACATATATAAAACGAAAATTTGTGAATGTGTGTCTTTTAAAAATGTTTAGCATACTTCCCGACATGCAACAAACTTGAAATTTGGCATGTGGGTACTTTCCAGACTGTACACAATGCAAAATGTATAAAAAAAAACCAATAGACTTTTGTATTTTTATGGGGGGTGGGGGCGCAATAATGGATATATTTTGCACGCAAGTGAGCTGTGACGTCACATCTGTCATGTCACCCGCATGCGGAAGCGTGACGCAATGTGTGCCTGCTCATGTCACACACCACCCCCCAATCCTCCGCGAGTGAAGTGCCATACAAATGTGTTGCAGGTCTAAGGCGTTCTTCGAGCAGCATTGGTCTCTTATTTGAGTCGTTTACTGCCGCACGCACCCTGAAAGTTGTGTGTGTCTGCAGCGAGCGCGTGTATGTGTACCTATGGACGTGCGCGCGTGTCTGTGTGGGGGGAGCGGTGGTGTAGCGGTTAGCGCGCTGTCCTACGAACCCGGCAACCCGAGTCCCATTCCTTCTCACGGCCACCACCGGTGACGATTATTTCAACCGGTCTTGGGCCTCCTCTAGGTTGACTCAGCCTCAAACGAGTAACTGTTATGGTGTGAACATCGCCACTGGAGGGTAAAAGGCGGCCGGGCGTGGTGAGTCCAAGTCCCGGGCGAAGCCGGGTAGTCTCAAGCTAGTACCTATTAAATGAAACTGAAGAAACGACGGCGACACCTGCCACTCTCGAGTAAAGGTGCCAACGTTGAGGCCCCCCCCCCCTCCACAAGTAGCTAAAGGTTGGCCCCCGGAATCAATGAGATTAAAAAGTCGTGAGATTTAAAAAAAAACACGTAGAAGTGATGACGTGCTCAAATAGAGCTCATCATCCCGACATTTAGCAGCCGTGAACCGGTGGTGGAAATTCTGCATTCCCACGGCAGGGGGCGAGTCTGTCCACAGGACCAATCGCTGTTGCCTTCCAACACAGGTGAGTGTATGGCGCGGTGTGTAAAAACGTCAGCAAGTGGGGAGACAAAGGTGTCCGGGTATTGTTCTGGCCATACCAGTCCCTCGTGTGCCAAGCTGGTCTTTAATAGGGGCTGGCTAACAGCACTGTCCCCAACAGCCTGTGTCGAGGATTGTTGTCTGTGTGTGGCAGGTCGGGGTGTGGTCTGGTGTCCCGGGATCAAAGTGACCTAAATCTGGTCCGACTGAAGCCATTGACATAGAACCATGCCAGCAGACAAGTGGTCACCTAGTCCAGTGGGTCCCAACGCGTATGAACTATGGTTGTCGTAACTGGTGTCCGCATGGCAGTGAGTGGTTTTTCTGAGATCAGGGCGATTTGGAATCAACACGGATTGCATTATTTTTCATTAATTGTCATGCACCAGCGTGTATTAGCTAACAATGAAATGTAGCATGATTAAAAGTAAGAATATTTTTTGTCACTTTTTGGCCAATTGAAATTGTAATAAATAGGTATCTCAAAACGGGAAGTTAGAAAAATAAAAGCCCAATCAACCAAAACAAATGTATGATTGTTTTCTCTCTCTGACATTGATATTAAAACAATAAAATAAAAAAATAAAAAATAAAAATCTAAATCAATATAAAACAATAAAATTCTCACGTTTCGACTGCAACACAAGCAATCATCATCAGGTGTGAAAACCACAGTCGAAACGTCGTGAGAATTTTATTTTATATTTTTATTATTTTATTGTTTCCCTTCTACGTGACTTTACCGAAGGAACCAAGATTATGAATCCCTGCAGTCACGAAAGCTTTAAATCAAAATTTAACCTGTTATTGTAAAACTTCACTGAAGCAGTACCTGTAAGCTTTATATTAACTAGTTGTTTGTATGAGCTCTCTGAGAACAGGAACCAGGTTTAAAGGGTTGGGATTCATTTAAAGCATACATTTTTACCGTATATTTTTTGCCAAGTATTGCCTCTAGGGTTTGCGAGATTACTTTGATGTCCTTACTTTACATTCTATTTAATGCATATTTCAGCAAATCTGCAAGTCTTTGATAAATGAAGTAAAAAATATAAAAAATACGAAATGAGGTAATATTGCCTATTTATGTCTTAAAATATTCAACAGTTTACTGAAGGATTCTGTATCGAAGATATGAAGCACCTCCAGCGGTTGAAGGGTTTATGTAATTCAATTACAATACAAATTAAAATAAGGAAATGTTACAATCGCGTATCATGAGCATAATAATCGATTATAATTCATGAACAGACATCTTTGCATGCCCAATGTTTACACTACCGGAATGCTATTCTGAAATTAGTTGTTAGATTTCGGCACGACAATTGTCCTCTACAGAAATATAAAAAATATATAATTGCAATGGTTTTATTTTTTGTAGCAGCTGAGAAAAATAAACAATATTGTCCTCATTCCTCCAGCTGCTTTTCTAATTAAAACGATTACTTTGCCTCCCTTATTTGACAAATTTAATAAAAACAGCAGCAAATAAGCATGTCGAGTCTTTGATATATAAATAATATAACGTTTTTTTCTGCAATAAATGTAAATTGAGGGAATATTGCGTCAACAGTTTGCTGAAGGCTTGAGTACTGAATGATTATATATATGATCGCTGGTTAAAAGTGCATTTAAAGTATTTTAGCAATTACACTCAACATTCAGCTGACTAGTAGTGTTACGAGAGCTTGATGACAGCTAAATGTAGGGTATTATTTTCTGAGGGTATATTGCATAAATTGGACAGCTTTAACCCAATGTTATCATTTCACTCTCCGTAGCAGTCACCTTTGAGAAAGAACCAACATGTCAGGGTCCCTTTAAGCGACAGTTCAACACATGGAAATAATTGGCCAAGAACAACTGTCTCAACAGTTAGTTTTTTCAACGCAGAAATCCATGGTGTTAATTCTTACATCACGTCTTCAATGGATCAAAATAGCTTTCATCGCATGTGATCCAAATCCTTGGCATTCGCTGAAAGGCGATTGTCACATTTTAACGATGCAACCTATAGCATGCAGGGCTGGGCATTGTGGCATTACAATGGCGCACCTTTGAAGAGATCACCAGAAGGGAAATTTGCTACATTCTAACGAGCATTATCGCTCACTCGTAGGGTACCATATCAAGACTGGTTGTACATTAGATGAGATCCAATCTGTAGATGATGTCATTGTACAGCTTGTTACAGGATTATCTGCAACACAGTTAAGGGTCATAAAACATGTCTGTAAAATATTTTATTGATTTATTAGTTCGGCAGTGGGCAGAACTAATTCAGATGTCCACAGTCTATTGCATATTTTTTTTGTTCAAGCTGTGATTTTTTTCAGAAATAAATTTCTCCCGACTGGAGGCGGGAATGACGTCATGGCCGGTTCTGGACTCGGGGAGGCGTGCCCGGGGTCACGCCGAGGCCCATATAAGCAGCCTCCTCACGAGGGTCGGGGCTGCCCGTGTCAAGAATGAAGATGCATCGTGAAGACGCCAAGAAGAGTCAAGCCTTCAGTCAGCGGACCTGCCAGTAGCCCACCTGGCTGGGTCACGCTAGAGTATCTGGGAGTTAGAGAAGTGTGTGTTAGCTAGAGTAGGTCGGTGGTCACCACCCTGTGCGTAGTGTAAGGGTTAACTGTTGTGTTCATTAATAAATGAGTGTTGCCTCCCAAGAAGTTGTGCGCGCCTAAATTAGAACCCACTACACATGTAATCAGGAAAGTGACACTTTCACTCATAGATAATTGTAATATCACACTTCTTGCAAATTTAATTTCAGGTTATGTAATTACCGCGTAGATATCTTCATTCAGGTTGTAACTGGAAGGACCAAAAAGCATGCACACATTGTCACATACATATGTAAACCTCACCATAGAGATGAGCCAGATGGGGACTTTTCAGTGTCTTAATTAAAATCGAGGCAATCCACAGGTGAATCCTTGTTTGAAGTCAAGTAACATGGTCACTGTGTATATTAGGATAATAACAATTCAGTGATTTGTTCTTCGGCACTCAATACGTGCCTAAAATGATGTGTGTATTAATCAATGTTTTTAATTCATACAAAATGAAATACCAATGTTACCTTTAGACTAGTCTCATAAGACAGAACAAGACCAAACACAAGAGATACAATGAGTCGGTACAAAGGAGACAAAGAGGATCGATTCATCTATCAAACCATCACCCCAAGTTGACAATCAAATCGCATGGGGAATTCGTTATATGCCTGGTGCAATACAAACATGTCTATTTATTCTAATTGAATATGCCACACTGCTTATATGTAGGCTCACCGGTTGCAGATTGTGGAATAGATCCACACGTTATGGGTTAACAGCCCAGAGTAGCTTGGAGAATCACCACTCGCACTCCCCACTGTGCCAGCTTGCTGTGTTTTAGCCACAAGACTCTCTGCTCTTTGTTGTTCCATGATTGCTGAAGGGCAGCTGCCGGCAACCAACCTGCAGTGTCGTTCACATCGGCAGAGGGCAATCTTCACACCACACATACTTGCCATTGGCAAATCTGCTCAGTTCCAAAGTCATCCCCTACTTAGTCTTTCGTCTCGCCCATACTGCTCCTCTGAGCCCCTCTATATCTGGCCAAACAATATTTGGATGCATTGGCTGGACCTGGAAGCTATAGGAACCAAACAAAATATCCTCACCTACCAGAGCCCACTGATCGAACTCTGTCCAGTCATGCCAAATACTTGTGCGATCCTCAGTCCAATATAAACAAACCCCAGATGGATAATCAACAGGTCAGACTGAATAAAGAGAGGGTATAATTATTGCTGATTCAGAGTGAGACTTCTGCCACCAACTAACTGGCCAAGAGCACATTTCAATATAGGAGCTTCTCCACGCACTCCAAAAATAGTGAATTACTAATTGAGGGGAGGTGGGACATTCAATGACACAACGTACCCAGGTAGGTACACTCGCACACATAAACAAAATATACAATTTTTCACTGTTGCTATTTTTTTTTATTTTGGCATGTCATAAGATGAAGACATTTCCATTCAGAACTCTGACTGGATGACGCAGTTAGCAGTGGATCACCATGTCAAAGAATGTGAGACGTCACAAAACTATTTCTGAGGTCACGGGCCTCTGTATCCACATGAAGGGCACAACCCTCTATATGCCCTGAAAAGTGTTTTTCACTGCCAATAATTGGCAGAAATTGCCCTTACGTCAGTGAATAAATAGTACCCCAGGTCTCTTGCGAGAGTGATGTAGCATTGTTATCTCAGTAGGCTATCACCTGGACCAAATAGAACAGAATCAGATAGAGAAGATTACATCGTCAACACTGTCAACACTTTACCATTGCCATGTCAATGCACCTCATGCTTAAGTTACAGACTTCACTCATTTACCAAATCCAACAGCAGCCTTTATCCAGAAAAGCCTCACTCACTAGGACTCGTGTTCTAGGAAGGTCTGGATCTGGGATATTTGGCCAATTCCGATAATGGCTGGCATGAGGGAGAAAACTGGTGTGCCTGGAGAAAAACCACTCCACATATGAGGGGTAAACACTCAAAGCTGTGCACAATTACATTCAATATAATTGCTGTACTGCCATCTCTTGAACATATTGCGACCTGCACTCATCACTCTCCAGCAAAGAGGCGACCCTCAGGTCACCATCCACCCAGCATTGTACCACTTCTCGCCGCATTCCTCACACGTCAGGAATGTCATAAGCTGCTCGTCAGGGCTGTCCCCACGCACCCAGCCCGGGATGAAAAGCGTCCCGCGACAAACCACCGACACGGAGCAGTTGAACTTTCCGCAGCGCCGGCAGCGCACGCGGTCCGTGGGCGTTCCGCCGGGCCTGTGCGGCAGCTGGTGTTCTCTGAGGGCAGCTTGTTGGTAAGAGTTCCGGAGGTGCCTCAGCTCTGAGCATGCCATCTCCTCCGGGGTCATGGCGGCGAACCGTGCCGGGCTCACCGCTCCAGCCCGCACCCGCCCGGCCAGCTCGCCGTTCTGTGGGTGGCGAAGGTTGGCGATTTTGCTCCTCAGACACGCTCGGTACTTCTTGTCCACGCTCGGGTGCAACCCAAAGATCGCCCGCTCGATCTCTTTCGCCAGTTCAATGAGATGCGTTTTGTCTCCTTTGCTCTCCTCCTCTGACGGTTCTGTTTCCAACACCGAGGAGTCGGGACTGTGAGGACCAGTTCGTCTTTCGCTTGCACTTCCGTGGACAACGCACGATTTTACATCTCCACTGAGGCTTTGAGAATCTAAAGTTGCGGTGCTCTCCTGTGAGAGTTCACGACACTCGGCAATGTTGTTTGCGGAACTACAAAAGGGTTTGCAGCTTCCAGAAGGTGCAGCAGAGCGAGTGTCAATTCCAAGAAGGCCCTTGTAGAGCAGCTGAATCCCCTTCTCCCTCACTGCTTGCACGCTACACGCTTGCGTCGGCTTTATGTTAACATTTTCAGGCAACTCATTAGCATGTGGGTCGGTTTCAGCGCGATTACACTGAGTTACATTCACCTTGCTGGTCACAGTGTCAGCTTTGAGGGCCTGTGTGCACGAATGAACATTGCCAGACTGTGCGCACGAAATAACATTTTCCGACACGGTAGCCATAAGCCAATTACCTCCAGACAGCTCACACACAGTCAAGTTTGTAGTCTCGGCATTATCTCCGCCTGTGGTTGGCACCGATAAATTCTGATCCGTGTAAACGTCTCTCAAATGTTGGTGCAAACTTTGGCTGCTGGCATCAATGGTCAAACGAGCGCAACTTTCGTCTCCAAAATCTGCACAACCGCCCCCCTTGCTCTCATCACCATCGCAAGCAGTTCTGTTATGCCCCACGGTATGACAAAGGCCATCAGGAAGCCACTTGTTCCGCTTGGTTTCAGGTGAACTCTGACCCTCAGCTTCTGGATCACACGCGAGTGCACAGACCCTATTCCAGGAGCGCAGCAGGGAACGTGCCTTGGCACGCACGCTGGCATCGGCGCAGCCTCGTTCGAGTCCAGACACACAGCGAGCAATCGCCGTTTGCCGCAAGTCTCCCAAACACACGCGGGCAGAGGCCAACCTGTCCAAGACTTGCAGAATTGCTGTGTAGTGCCTGTCTGTGTGCAATCTCTCCAGGCGCATGCCCGCTGCATTCAGGTCTTCGAGGTGCGCCATTCCTTCAGTGCAGACAAACGCATACTGTGAGTGGAGACTGATGCATAGCAGTTATGTTTCCGCTTGACTGATTGCGTTAAGTGTCGCCCTTCAGATTTTTTTTCCAAATACATTAGGTGTGCACGTTATATTAAACATGACTTGACATGCTATTACTTGACGTAAAACATTTTGAGTGGTTTACCACTCAGACAAACGTGGGCCAAGTGCCCATTTCCTGTTTTACAACTCTCAGTGGTGGAACTTCTACGTTCCTGTGGCAGGGGCAAGTCTATCCAGAGGACAACCACTCTTGATTTCCCCTAAAAGAAGAACTCACTTTACTCACTTTATGGATCCCGGAAGGATTATGGGCTGTGTCAACCATCAACCAGGATATGAACTTTGCAAGCTTCCGATAGGCCAGGTGAGTGATATCAGAGATGCTTGGTGAGTGTTACAGGCGTCAGGTGAGTTGGTAGCTGATGGCGCGTGAGGTTTGTGTTGAACGCTATCAGGTGAGTGGCATAAGGTGTGTAAGGTGCCTGATGAGTGGCACGAGGTGAGTTATGAAGGTGAGGGGCAGGTGAGCACTGCCAGGTGAGTGAGTGGTTAGCATTTGGTAACCAACTGCTCGGTGCTTAAGGGATCCAGGGTCCAACATAAGAGAATACAACAACACAGACTGTCCCGTTGAGGGCGACGGGTGATAATTATTCTTAGACTTTTGGGGCATCCATGAAGGCACACGAGAGGGTGGGTGGCCAGCACCACGCCCGGCCGCCTTTGTCTCCCCAGTGGCGGTGTTTACTACACAGTTTGTTTCATTTCATTTGTTTGGTATAGCCCTGTGAGCCATTCGGCTCTTGAATCGGGTGCAACCGCAACAAACAAAAAACAAGAAAACATCTTGAAGTGACTATGTGACTGTGCAAACATAAAATCCAGGGAAAAACAGCAAAATATTACACAAAAAGCACCGTACACCAACGCTGTGTGCAAATAGCATACGACGTTTCGATTGCAACACAAGCAATCATCATCAGGTACAAGTGAAAGAGAAAACCTACACCTAGTAAACTTAGAAATATAATGCAATACAACACAGAGAGTCGGCTAACAGTCAACACCCCACCTGGTTGATAACGTTCTTCCAAAGATTGCTCAATTTGAGAGACAAAACACAGACACGGAGACACATAGACAGAGAGAGATAACACAGACACACACAGAGAGAGATACACAGAGGGAGATAACACAGAGACACACAGAGAGAGATACACACAGAGACACACAGAGAGACACAGAGAGATATACACACAGAGAGACACAGAGAGAGATACACACAGAGACACACAGAGAGATACACACAGAGACACACAGAGGAACAACGCCTCTGTGTCGACGCCTTAAATAGAGAGAGAGGGGGGCAGAGAGAGAGGGGGGGTAGAGAAATTAGCAAGTCAATGCAAGGCCGTAGCCATGGAGTCAACATTGGGGGGGACCAAATCTTCCAGGGGGTCTGGGGTCCCTCCCAGAAAAAATATAAATTTGAAAACTAATTTCCTGACATTTCCTAAAATATTGAAAAATTTCACTAACACATGGGATGGATTTTTTTATTTGATACAATAATGTATAATATTGTATTGTATTACATTGCTGTTTTTACTTTTTTTACCTTTTCTTGTTTCATAGTATGTAATGGCAGAGATTAGGGATTCATAAAGTGCAACGCAATCATATAAACAGAAATCCACGCATTGTTATATGAAGACAAGTCCAGATTTTGTGGCCAAGGTTTAGCAAATTGTTGTTTTTATTAACATAGCATAGCAATCATTATTTTAAAAATATATTTTTATAGCAATATATTGGGGGGTACATTTTGAGCATATTTGATTATTCGGGGGGGGGATATGTCCCCCCCCCCTCCAATATATATTATAATTATTATAACATTATAATTACGGCCTTGTCTCAATGAGAGATTTGGAACTTTGGTGACTGCAGGAAATAATAATAACGATGACACAGAGAGAGAAAGCACACTTTTATTCTTGGTTCTTTCGGTAAAGTCACCACGTAGAAGGGAAACAATCAAATAATAAAAATATAAAACAATAAAATTCTCACATTTCGACTGCAACACAAGCAATCATCATAAGGTGTGAAAACCACAGCAAGAAAATGTCCTTGCTGTGGTTTATTATTTTATTGTTTCCCTTCTACGTGGTGACTTTACCGAAAGAACCAAGAATATGAATCCCCTGCAGTCACGAAAACTTCAAATCAAAAGCACACTTAATCAAATAAACTGAGTAAAATTTGGAAATGTAATGCAATGCAACACAGAGAGTCGGTCAACACACAATTAACGCATAGCCTGGTTGATTACTTTCTTACAAAGATTGCTCAACTAAGCGAGAGAATTGAAGCAAAGGCGATCAGGCGAGGGCAGGAGGCAAGGCTCCGCGCTGTAGTAAAGTTCCAACCTGGACATCGCTTCCGTGATCGCTGATACTCAGTTGACGTCCCTACGAGAGAGACAGCGAGGCTCTACCTCGGTAAACAACAACCACTAACAGGTCCCTGCAGGGTGGGCTGGTAGGAACATTGGAATTTTTCACTTCGTTAAAGTATTGAAAGGGGACGGACTCATTAATCTATTGCAGGCTGGTACACTCAGTTTACAACTTCGTTCCTACCAGTATAACCACTACCATCACCACAACCACCACCACAACCACCACAACAACCACTACAACCACAACAACCACTACAACCACTACAACCACAACAACCACCACAACCACTACAACCACAACAACCACCACAACCACCACCACCACTACCACCACCACAACCATCACCACAACCGCACGAGGTACTAATTTGAGGCTGAGTCGACCTAGGGGAGGCCCAGGACCGGTTCAGATAATCGTCACCGGTGTTGGCCGTGAGTTGAAATCGAACTCGGATAGGCCAAGTTCGTAAGCGCAGCGCGTTAGCCGCAACACTACCGCTCACACACACAGACACACAGCATTCGTGTACTGCTCACTGATACACTTGCTTTACATTGACACGTCTAAAAGCTCTTTCAAAACACCGGCAGAGCTCAGCAAGACAAGCGAATACCTTTCGCGTGATCTCGCAGTGCAACCAATGTGCCCCGCTGCCGTGTGTACACGGCAGGCTCATCCGGCTTTCCTGTTAACCTCTCACCCGGGGAGGGGGTGGGTGGAGAGTGGGTGGGGAGTGAGGAGTGGGTGGGTGGGGACCCTTCAGCCCCAGAGGCTGCTCGCTAACAACAAGCCCAGCACTGGCCATGAGATGGTGGCAAACTCCACGTTTCTCGACGCCCCAACGCAAGTCCCCCCCAATGTTCACCCGCGGATGGGGCGAATTCGAGGGTTCCAGCATTTAGAAACAACGTCACGCCTTGGGACTGTTTGCCTGCGTAGGGGCCGTCCATAAATGACGTCACGCGATTTTTGACCCCCCCCTCATTCGTCACACGGCGTCACAAAAAGTCAGAGCCCCCCTCTAATATGACGTCACAAAGCTCTGCCCCCCCCCCCAAATTTTTTTTATAAAACACGCTTCAAATCGCTTTAAACTATTGTCATTTTAGTGCGTATTTGATGTGGCGCTGCACTCTGATGTAGGAGAAAAGTAGAACGTGTTGTCTATATTTAAAGTTGCGCATTTTTTATGTGACGTCACATTTCTCACCCCCCCTAGGTGCGTGACGTCATTTATGGACGGCCCCCTATACATTTATACGATGATGATGATGGTCATGAGCCACTTCGCTGAACTATCATTTGTGATGAAAACATAACTACTGTGTATACGTAGCTCAGTGGGCCTTACCTGGTAAAATACATAGTTTAGCTTCCTTTAACTTATTTATATTTAGTTATTTGCCGACCCTTCCCATAATTTGCACTCCTATCGTGTTTTTGTACTGTTTGTTGTAACTTTTTGACTCGCCCCTACTGGACGTCTGTGAGAAAGAGCTTCATAGCTCATCGGATTTCTCCAGGATAAAGAGCCCGATTCCGATCCATGATTGCTAAAGCTAGGGGAACAAATGTGTTGAAGGAAATAAGTGCAGTGATTTATGTTTGATTAATTTACCTTGAGTCGAATAAATGTATTCGTTTTACACAGGTCAATCAATAAATGTATGATGACTTAATAATTGTTTTTACAATATGGTCTACGTCTTTAGGCCCTTTCCCTCCTATTAACACCAACTTGTCTTTAAAATCTAAATGCCATTATGTATCTTCAAGTTTATATCTGTAGTACATGTATTCATTATTACCAAGGTGAGTGACATGCTTCTTCAAGGATCAGTCTGAAATGATGTGTATGAGATCTCACTCATATGTCTCATATATCATGATATTGGCATTTATGCAAAGTGATTTTTTTATTAAAATGTAAATGGCGAGAAGGAAAGTCGTGATCTATTCGTTATTTTTCTATCTACGTGACTTTACCGAAAGAACCAAAGAATATAATGTATGCATTGTCTTTGAAACTGATTGGTCCACACCAGAGACAGCTTTCTTTTGAGCCTCGTCTCAAAACGGTGTTCGTCCAGAGGACGCCAAAAGGCGCACACAACACAAAGACAATGCACTATCAGAGTAATGAGAGCTAGGGGGTAAGCATATTTTGGTAATGGCAAAGGAGGTCCCATGATGTAGATGCTCAGCCCCAGCCCTCATTACTCTGATAGTGCATTGTCTTTGGGCTGTACGCCTTTTGGCGTCCTCTTGTCTAACACCGTTTTGAGACGAGGCTCAAAAGGAAGATGTCTCTGGTGTGGACCAATCAGTTTCAAGGACAATGCCAATATATTATCAGTGTTGTTTTGTTTGCATTCTGACCACAAGTATTGTAGTTAATGTAAACATGATTCCTTGTAAAAAAGGTTTCAGTTTTGTTGCCAGAAAAAAGGGGAAAACCCTATTCTTATATTTTGGTACTGGCAAAGGAGGCCTCCTGATGTAGATCTTAACACCTGTTTTGTTGCCAGAAACAAAAGGGGAAACCTTATTCTCAAACCTAAAGAGAACAACATTGTCATTAACCATTCATGTCAACAAATGTGGTTTTTGTTTGGCCGTCATATGTAGAGTTTTGATTTGAAGCTTTCGTGACTGCAGAAGACGAGTGTTTGTGTGGCGATTGAAACGCCCTGATCTATTATTTTTCTACCTCCGTGACTTTACCGAAAGAACCAAAGAGTATATATGTAGAGTTATTTTACCATTTCGTCAATGTGCTGTGAATACTTTTGTACGACGTTCCTTTAATATTGCCCCGTTGTACCACCCATTAGTATCATCAGACAATGCGATTAACTTTATCTGATTGAGCCCCGGTGCGTCTCTACATTGTGTTGTTGTGTTGTTGCTGCCTCTCCGTGAAGCCCGACATTTCAGAGGGCTCCCTAAAAAGTAGCCTCGGGTCACGTGGCCATACCTGAGCTGCTGTGTTGGGTAATCCCGGGCCACGGCAAAGATGAGCACGGAGCACAAAAACGAATCCTTGAACCAGGTCAGAATGTGCTGGAAGCTACTCGCAGTAATTCACTTACCGATAGGCTGTTTAGCGCATACCGAGCGGCGCTTTTCTCTCGCCGGACAGATTTTGTTTCACGTCTTCAGGCGGTGATGGATTCAACGAGGGAACGATTTTCACAAATTCTACGACGTTAAAAAGGCTGCCCCAGCTTGTTATGACTCATGGGGTGGCATAAATAAAAGAAATCTCGAAGTAATAAAGGTCTTTGGGTTAAATCGCGTTATTTATAAATGTGTCGTAACCCTCCACCACCCGACACGGCCAATCAGCAAAAAGGTGTCACGTTGACAAAAGACAAATAGTTCACTACTTTAGCCCACACCGGTGTGTTGAAGAGTGAATCCACAACAAACTGTAAATGTTGTGGATTCACTCTTCAACACACCGGTGGGCTAAAGTAGTGAACTATTTGTCTTTTGTCAACGTGACACTTCTTTGCTGATTGGCCGTGTCAGGTGGTGGAGGGTTACGACACATTTATAAATAACGCGATCTAACCGAAAAACCTTTATTATGAATAATATTGGTCGCGAAAGCCTACGTGTTAAACTAAATCTCGAAGCTTTAATTTCATAAACCTTTACTTCTTGCATCTCCATATCTTGAAATATATTAATGTATGTATACCAGGGCAACAATCTAAATCTACGTTCGTGAAAATGCGTTAAAGGATGTCAAGGACGAATAATGCTGGTGAACAATTATTTCACGTCATGTCACGTGGAGATTGCTTGGTGACTGGAAACCAATGAGCCCGCACAGCGAGGGACACGGACTTGGGGTTGACCTGGCCGGTGGCCTGCCAAGGTGCATCACGATCTTTTACCACGCCAATTCATACTGCTGGCCAGTCCACAAGACAACCTCTCGCAATTTAAGGGTGTCACAGGGAAAACCCTTGCAATCCAAAACACGCCTCGCGATTTCTCGATCGTGTTCCAAAAATACAAGTCGGTGATAAATCTTGTAAAATGGAATGACATTTAATCTTCCCTATATTTATCATCCATGCCATCTTTGTCAGGTTTCATTACACAGAGTAAATCACCGAAACGACAACATGGAATCGAGATGCTTTGCTAATTCATGATGCAGGACATTATGAAGTGTTGCCAATTTTATTATTTCGACAAACGTAATAATCAGCGACTTAATGCTGTAGGTGACTAGTTGACCAAGGTGTATGATGTTAACTCCGAGCACTGAACCTTTGAAATGTATTCGTGTAAAATGCATGGCTTTGAGATGCTTGTATTTTCATTATTTTTAATACATTGCTGATTTTTTTTAAAAATCATTGTTTCCCTTGCGTGTTGTTCATTTTTCTGCACTAAGATAAAGTCTATCTTTACTTTTCAGCCCAAGTTTCCCTCCCAAAACAGAGACTCGTCTCAGTGGACTCTCACGGGGTCATAAACAACGGTCATGCATATGCTGTGCAGTCCATACGGATCCCCTACTTTGGCGAGAACACACAATTTTGCTTCAGGACAGAGCATTTCCAATTGAGTCATCCAATGAGCTGAAACACACAATTGTGCCATGTGGAGGTGACCGAATCACTCGAATTGCGTCCATTATCGTCACATTTCAGAAGCTCAGCAACATTTTGCCGTGGATCATGCTCGGATTTGGTGACCACCGAGCAAAGGCCTGGCAGCGTGGGGCGCTACACGGCGATGTTACCACCAGAGGGCACTGCAGAAGGTTCCGCAGTTAAAAACTAAACGCAACCATCGTATTAAGCTCCATGCTTACACCAACCCATTCTGACCATCATGGTGAAGAATTGTAATTACAACCCCCACCACTTGTATGACGTGGGGGGGGGGGGCTCGTTAAATATTAACATCATTAGTTCCATAAATTGTAATGTCACTTAATTTAATGGACCTACCCGTTCCCTCATATGCCAATTTATAACAAATTAACATACCTTTAAAAAGGCTGATCATGCATTCTTTTTTGGATTTAATTTGGACCAGCATTCATTAGATAACACATATCATCATGTGATGTAATTATGATATCTGTGTACAAACACGCTTGAGTCGGTATAGAGTTATAAATCACTGCGAAAACATCTTAATGCTGGGCCGTCAGATGAAATTCTGAAAGTTTAAACTTGAAATTCTTCTTAAACAGTAAATATAAAGAAATGACACGTGACATATTTTCAAGAGCAGCAGATGGGATGAGAATAATTTGAGACGTGTCACCTTGGGTGAACTACAATTCCCGTCGTTTCCGCGAGCGAAGGAATCATCCAAAGAGATATACGAGAGCACACGTGATCTGTACAAGTTTATAAACCAGCGAGGAGACGTAAAATGCAATGAGCTGTAAGACAGCATCGAAGCCAAAGCGCAATGGTTGAAATAATTAGTAAATTCAGGAAAAGGTATTCTAAATTGATCATTCATTGGTATGAACGCAAATGTTATAGGCAGAATAAAATAGTTTACTGATAAGCAGTTGATATCGAAATAGAAAAACACAGAAGCTAAAGAGTACACAAATATTTAAAAATTATAAACACAAGTCTTACAGCTAATTGGATGTGTGTGCTACCCTCAAATTGTCTTTCAAATAATGTTAGTTTACATAAAAGGGCATCATGGGCGTGTGGGTTATTTTGCCGATTGAAACATACCATAAACAGTGTGAATGACCACACAAAGAATCAGTAAGTTACTGGAAAACACGCTGTAAAATAAAAAAAATTACGCTCAACCCCTTTAGAATGTCAGTGTTTCTGAGAATTAAACGAACTAACTTAAAAGTAAAACTACCACATTAAATTAGAATTTAACTTCTGACAAATATTCTTAATTCAAATCAAGTGCCCATTACAAGATCAAACAAAAATACCAAAACGCGACCGTGTTGGCACGACACGAGAAGAGATCCGAAGCACTGTTTTATTTAGCATGACATGTTTAGGTCGGTCTAATTCTAACCCACTGCAGCGTAACAATTCACAGCCCATTGGCAATCCATTGCTGGATGAAGACCTCACACTGTGTTGTCCGTGGAGGTTGTTTTGACCATACTTCACCGTAATGGTCAGTGCACATTGGTGAATGGGGGAGCCAATTCAGGTGCAATTTATCAACGTCCACCGATGTTTGCCCAAGTCAGGAATAAAACTCAAATTCGGTGGGTTAATAACGGCCGTGCGTTAACCAAAGCGCCAAAAATTCTAAAGTGTGGCTCTTGTGTAAAAATTTTTTTTTTAAGAAAAATAAAACAAAAAGTTAGAAATGTTCTCAACATTTTAGGAATATTTAATCCACTTTGTAACAGCAGATGAAATATCTAAGAAGTTCAAGCAGACTTTAAAGGTAGGATTTAAAAAAAACCGTGGTATGTTATGCTCGGCAGTTATTTATAGTATGTATGCATGAATCTCACAAAGTATTCCGGAAATACAGTAGCACCCTTTAAAGTTGTTGTTGTTGTCATGATTTATGTAGAGCCCAGGTTTAAACAGTCATAATGTAAAGTAAATATACAATATCCACACGTAAATGTGTCTGAATCGAAAAGTTACTAACACACTAATGCAATAATACAATATATGCAACGAGATAACTTGTTTAAAAAAACACACACGCACAAATATGTAGGACGCAATAAGAGCTACAAAAATTTAAACTTTGAACGACTTTGTTCATTAACAAATTGAAGTACTGTGGCTATAGAAACACGACACACCGGGTCAATATTATCACAATCGTTGATGCCAATTGTCACAAACGACGCGTTCACTTTCAGCAACTTGGTGCGTCTCATCGATGAAAACAGCTGAAAAGCACGTTTGATGAACAACGATTTGGTTTACAGAGCCCACCACTTTGGGTGTTCTCGTGACCTGTGCTCACTCTGAAAGCAGATTTGAAGTTCACACCAAGCTTGCTCATGGGGACAGCAGTGATCAGATCTGTCCAGATACGAGCCACTGCATGATTACACTCGGACATGGAGCTTCCAGCATGGCCAGCGACGACTGAACTGAAACTGTCCCGGTGTATCGTGAGGTTGAGTGTATCGCAAATATCAGTACCACAGCACTGACAGTTGCTTCAATAAGCACAGTGGGAACTCCTAATGCTCACCACCGCTCATTTAAATATTTTAATTGTCAAATGATAACCTTACACCCAGCGGTCTCTGTAATAAAATGAAGTAAAAGCATAGTGCATATTTAAATGCTTCAGTGGACTACCCTTTCCATGAAACGGTGATCTTTTCAACGCAACGTTTGTCCTTCCAAATTTAAATGGTGAGCTAACACTTGGAAGAAGATGGAATAATTCATAAAAAAAACATCTGCGCTGAGTTACCATTTGCAAGCCTCCTCTTAAACATGTTACGAAATAAAATAAAAATCGAGGATAACTACTGAATTGGACAATGCAGAGAGATGGCAGAGTTTATTGAAAAATGCTCCTTTTAAAAAGACATGGGACTGCCCCCGCAAATCTCACCACAAATCTATGCACCCCACAGTTCCTTCAATTGGGGCAACAATTGTAATCCCATGATCGTGGAGTGCACCATTCTTCTAAAGGGGCATTTCTGTTGTACTGCTCCAATTCCATCAGCATCCATCCACCGTCTAGATTAATGTAATAATGGCAAGCTAACTGAGTTAATGGCTTCAACTAGATAAAATCCTACTACATGTACAACATGAAATTATCTTCAAGGTGTGCCCATACATAGATGTGTACTGGAGCACTGGTAAATTGTTGTGTGTCTCCCATAACAATAACAATAATATTAAGGGCTAAGGCATGAAGAAAGACACTCACTGTTATGTATATGCATTTAAATAGCGGTTGGCCGAAAGTGCAATGAGAATTATGGACTGGGAGGGCAATGTGGCAGAATGAAAGCTACCCAAGGAACTGCTTTTGAAATGCATTTCTGGTTTGTCTTTATGCCTGCGTAGAATCACACCCGGTGTATATACACACTGCAAGTCCGACGCACGCAGATGTGTGTGTGCGTGCGTGTTCGTGCGTGCGCCTATACGCACGTGTGTGCGTGTGTAGGTGTGTGCGTGTGTAGGTGTGTGCGTGTGTAGGTGTGTGTGCGTGTGTAGGTGTGTGCGTGTGCGTGCATGTTCGTGCGTGCGCCTATACGCACGTGTGTGCGTGTGCGTGTGTAGGTGTGTGCGTGTGTAGGCGTGTGCGTGTGTAGGTGTGTGCGTGTGTAGGTGTGTGTGCGTGCATGTGCGTGTGTAGGTGTGTGCGTGTGTAGGTGTGTGCGCGTGTGCGTGTGCGTGTGTAGGTGTGTGCACGTGTGTAGGTGTGTGCACGTGTGTAGGTGTGTGCGTGTGTAGGTGTGTGCGTGTGTAGGCGTGTGCGTGCGTGCGTATGTGTAGGTGTGTGCGTGTGTGTAGGTGTGCGCGCGTGTGCGTGTATAGGTGTGTGCGCGTGTGCGTGCACGTGCGTGTGTGCGCGCACGTGCACGCACGCCGGATCGCCGCCCTCCACTAATCTTCCATGAGCTCTTCGGGGCAGGGTCCGGACTTGAGCATCACGTCTCCCAGGCTGATCTCTCCATTCCTCCCCTTGCCTCTCTCGGCTTCGAAGACGATCTGCACACACGAGCCGGGCACGCGGGTAGAGACGCAGGTTAGGGCGGTCGGTGGCCGTGCGCAGCACCCTTGTCAATCCACTTGCGGCACGAAGACCTCCCCAGGCCACGCGGATCACAGCTGTGACTTGAACATACTTCAACTTGCTGGTCAGCGTTGGTTGGTGAAGCTGGAGAGCATAGACTGTGGGAGCACAGTCCAGTGCCATAAATGATGTTGTCACAATGATGCACATCCAGTCATGCATGTGAAAATTGATAATTACACTGTACCTAATGCTGGCATTTGCAACGGTTAAGTTAAAAGGAAGTCGTGTTCTCAAATAACACACACACATTAACCTGCCACCTGTGCGCCATTGAATTTCACTGTGTAATCGCACCAACATGGGAATCAACAGCACACCTGAAATTCCGTACATTCTGCTGGCAATCAAACTAGTCCGTTAAGCACAATGTACGGGGCGCACTGCACAATGGCCCAAGCAGAGATAAATACAGCCCCAATCGTCGTTTCAAATTCTCTGCCAAAACCAAGGGTCAAGTTAAGCCCTATCCTACTATGGCACACACATCACGCACAGTGTTTCTCAGATGTCGCAACTCGCTGTGTACCGCCATGCCACCTTCTCTCTGTCGCCCCCCCGGACTGAGAAAGTAATCCACATCTCCACCTCCACATGCGGTTCTCCATATCCTTTACATTAGAATTGTGACCTTGTCACTATTTCATGGAGCTTTCAACACGGTCTCGTTCCAGTGAGACTGTGGTGTAATTGGATAGCTTAATAACGCGGTGAACGAGAATTTATGAACCCAAGAAAGACGCGTTACGTAAAATACAAAACCAAAGTCGGAGTTAAAACAAATGCATTTAAAAATAATAGTAATGAGAACCACAAACAAAACTGCAACGGCTAAAATGAGATTGCACAACGCAAGTGAAGAAAACAACTAAATAAACCTGGCAGTGCCAAGCAGCAGGTGTGTGAAACGACCCCAGAGTTTAAAACAAGACACAAACGCGTGCGTTAAAACCACCCAGCAGCAGCTTTCCATGAATACGACATACACATTGCAAGCAGTGTTATGTTTAATGGCACAACGGCGTTGATCGCGTACAACCATTATTTCTGCGGCAGAAATAAGACGCGGGGGCTTTATTGCTTACGCAAGTAACGTGAGCACGGCGTTTTGCTGCGTCTTGGTGGCTCATTCCCCGACCGTGCGCTCGCGTTACCGGCAAAAATACTGCGCCTCCACGGGCCGTTGCTGCTTCTTAAATTACTGCCGCACGATCATCTCCGAGCAGAGGGCGCTTTTTATTTGTACTAAAAACGTGATTTGGTGACGATGCTGCTGTGTTGAAAAATACCTTGACACGTTCGTCAATAACACTGCGAGCCATCGGAGGAAAAAGACATAATCGGTGACATTTGTGGCAATGGACCTTCTGTATAATAATAACTATCATATGTTCATGCTTTCATTAGAGCAGTGTGACGGCAAAATGGAAGAAAAGTATATTTTCCCGCGATTATTTCATCCTTATTTTTGACATAACCGGCTAAATAAAAATCACGGGAGACGGGTACCAAGCAGCCTTTATCCCGAGTGTAACTTAAGCGGACAGCTGTCACTCGTGATCTTCTTAAACGGCAACACGAAGCCGCATTTAAAAAAAAAACTCAGAGCAATTTATGCTCCATAAATTCTGACTGCGGTGGCGAGCCATGCCCCAACTGCCGAAACATTCCCCCTACTGAGCTTTCAGGACAGAAATACGCGGCGTATAAATAACGGCAGTGGCAGGGTCCGCTGTGTCTCCCCAAACACAATACCGTGAAACGCGTGTTCATTAGAAACGCGGCTATTGTTAGCAAATATCCCAAGTGCTTCGTCAATTTATAGCTTTAATTCTGAGATTCTGCGTTAATTAATTTATGGTCTTTAAGCGTCCTGGGTATTTCTAAGTACAGTGTTGTGCTTGATGCACGCTGTTCAGTGTTGTAAGCACACGATCTTACCAGATCTCAGATCTCTAAGCAGGATTTGATCTTGGACAGTGCTTGGATGGGCGACCACCATCCATAGGAGTTGTTTCAAGCGTTGTGGGTATACTTTACCATCAACTTAGGGGAGTGATCAAAAAACGTGTGTTGTACTGTACTTCTATGTTCCCGTATCTATGTCCCCACTCCCCCGGCCTTCACCAACCCCCACTGACCAGCGTGGTGAAGTACGTCATTATGATGTTTATAACACTTATAAATAGCAGTCTTGTCAAAAGCTTGCTTTCCTTTTCCTTCACTCGTGGTGCCTGGCCCCAGCGGCTCCTCCTAGCGATGAACCCGCCACAGGGCTGGCTTACTGTCATCTCATTGATCTGTATTGAGGGACGCATGGGTGAAGTGACCCCCAGTGTGACCCCAGTCCTCCTTCTACAAACGAACCCCAGGGAAGAGACTCATCGCGCTCTCCTGAAGCGACGTGAGCCCCGGGCAGCGCCACTCCCCGCGATTCCAACATCGTGCTTAACCCTGTCCCCTTTGGAGACGTCTACAATTTGCGGGATGGAGATTCCTGTTTACAGCTGAATCTCTGAACGCGTAAGCGGTTCAGAGTAAATTTAATTTAGAGAGGCGTGGAACCGTTGTTTTTAAAGACATTGTACTCGCCGCAGAGAACCGTAGTGACACGACCGCACTCTACGATAGCTTGCGCCAAGCTGTGCCACACGCCCTCCCGCATAGCCTTGTGGGAGCCTCGATACAGATAAAGTTATTTTATTTGAGTTCTTCTTCCGATTCCATTATGATGACTTCCACGCACGTTCCGATGACGTGCACGTACGACATCGGAATGCAATCGGAATAAAAGCTGATGACGTACACGGAATGGGAAAGGATTTAATAATCGGCGTACGGTGCCCTCGCGCATGCAGGTGAACCCCCGGGGGGAAGACTCACGCTCTCCAGCGCCGTGGGCAGCAACGTGAGCCCCGAATGGCGCCACTGGCCCGTGGCAGCGCCCCACCACTCCCACACGGGTGGTCCCACGCGGCCGCCCCTCTGCAGCATCACCCGCAGCTTCCCCGGGTGCTCGCCCGCCACGCGGTAGCGGAACGACACGCAGAAGTCGCCCTGCGGCACAGGACTGGACAGGGAGAGGCTCAGTCGGCCGATCTCGCGGCGGCGACTCGAGGTGGCCGGGACCGTCATGTAGCGCTCGCGGCCTGCGGAGCGCACGTGCACACACACACACACAAAACGTGCGTGCTCGCTTTCATTGTCGTCGTGAAGACACTCTCATTACTGACAATTTTCATCTTCATAATCATCACCGCTCGTAGCATCATTATGATGATATTGTCGTGACTGATGATATTATAATCATCATCATTTTCATCATCATCATCATCAAGACGTTGTCATTACTGATATGATGATCATCTTCATCACTGAGATCAACCAACATCAGCACTAGTATCACTATCATTATAATGATACCGTCGTACTGACGACATCATCATCATCATCCCTTTCATTATGAATAAGACAAAGTCATCATCGTCAAGACATTGTCATTACAGATATAATGATCACCTTCAATCAGGGAGACCATCATCATCAGCACTGGTATCAAAATCATCATCGTGACACTGTCACTCCAGGCATCAACACCTACACTGTCACCGTGATCGCCATCACTAATGCCTACATCCGTGTCACAATTGACGTGAGTGTCATGACTAACATCGCCATTTTCATCAAACTTTATAGAATCATGATTTGATCTTGACTGACCTCATTATCATCCTATAACTTACATCATCATCGCATGAATGGCAATAAAATCAACACAACCAGCAATAAAACTGACGTGACTAAAATCTTCGTCATTTATCTCATCACGATCTATGTAACCATTATTTTTCACCATCGTCGTTCAAAACAAATGCAGATGACTCATTTGTGTAGATCTGAGAGATCACGAGTTATATTCATCGCGAGACTTTGTGTGCTGGTCTTCAGCAATACATTTGTATGTATGGTGAACTTCTTTCACACCATACGTATCCAACAATGCCAATCAGAGGCGCGAAGAAGTGGGCATTCGTATAATATTTTGCATGGGAATTGAATCCACACCTACCACTGGGATTCCTACTGTGAGTAAGAAGTGGCCATTGGTTTCCTCCAAACTGGAATAGTTCTTAAGCTGCTGCTGCTGCAGCTGTTGCTTCTGCTGCAGCTGCTGCTACTGCAGCTGCTGCTGATGCTGTTGATGTTGTTGATGTTGTTGTGAATGAGCCACTAGACACGGGGGCTCCCTACCATCGGGCGATTCCAGGAATTTCCAGTCAAAGTCGTCTTCAGCGTCTTGCATCCACTCGCAGGTTCCTTGCCCAAAGGCGCAGTTCCTGTAGAAATCTGGCAGCACCAGCACAAGGAGAGGCAACACATCGACATCAATAGCAGCAATAGCAGCAACAGCCATAGCACGAACCAGCAGTGACGCACAACATTGAACTGTGATGCTGCGTGTGGTTACCATCAATGCTTCACTTCCCTGCTTACCCCACTGCTGGCAGAAGGGCTTCCACTAATGTGAGCTCGAGAGGGGGTATTCGGCCTACTCCTCCATACTGGCCAGAAGTCTGGGAAGAGGTGGGAGTTCCACATTTTGGCCTCTATCACACGTCACCTTCCGCTCGACTGACGGACTGTGCCGAGTTATACGGCTGGGTGGACAGAGGCCTGGCGGCGGGGTGGTGGGGGATTCAAATAACTTGATAGTCCTCCAGCCTGTCGGCCTATCAGCCTTCTGGACCAATGTTTGTCAACGGAATTTGTTTAAGCAGGAAACGCTGGTTTCGGTCTCATCACCAGAGTGTGGCCTGTTAAACAACTGCTGCTGGGTTGCCTCATGCAATCAGCAAGAGAACTCCACAAACACTGTGGCGCCCGTTCGGTACGAGACAGCAACATTTGTTGAATGTAATTTTTCCACAAGGTTAGTCGATGGAGTGGCAGCCAAGGAACGGAAAACGCTGATTTCATCATGCGATGAAATCAGCTCGTGTGGATTGTTACACCGCGGGATCACGAGATGGTGGTGGCTTGGGGAGACCTTCATCCTACATGAGAGATTCGTTCATGAGGCTATCCACATATACAAGCACAGAGACAATTTCAACCGAGAAGATGGATTCTGGCTTAGCAATCATTGGAAAGATTTGATTAACCATTTCAGGTCTTAATTGATTGTTCACGCTTACAGTGGCTTTCAGACAGCATACATTAATTTTTCGTCTCCCCCCTCCTCTTTTGAGAACATAGATGGACTCGTCCTTCTAAATAAACTGCCAAATCGCTGCGCGTGGTGCTGACGTTTTTAATAAATAAATCAACCGTTTTAAAATAAATTAATTAATGCAAACCGACACACCTGATGACGACCGTTTGTGTTATGGTCGAAACGTCGTGAGAGTTTTTATTGTTTTATATATATTTTATTATTTTATTGTTTCTCTTCAACGTGACTTTACCGAAAGAGCTAAGAATATAAAGATACACAGGTTATGAACCAGACCAGCTGGAAACAGAAGCTCCCCATGTGTGGAAAATGTGGGAGAACCTTTCAGTGAGGTGCTCTGATGCAAGACTGTTCGCGTGCACGGGGCATCAGAATCCAAGGCATTTGGTATCAGGATAATCTGGGCAGGTGGTGCCTCTCACTAAACGCAAAGATAACATGCCATTGGGGTGAGATATGCCGAGGCTTTTGCTCCTGAGCTGCGTGTCAGACCGTAACCATGAGGCAAAGATCGAGAGAGATTTGCATGACTTACTCTCTCTGTCCGCGCTGCTGCCCCAGTCGATTGAGATGGCGCCCTGAAAGGTTTCCTTCCCAGATTGCACTGCAGCACAGACACATTCCCACACCACCGTCACACACACAGATATTTTTGAACGCTGCCCAACTAAGATTAGCTCTGTCGGTACATCTGTCTGGAACGGGGGGAGGATGGCCATGATAACTCTCGTAAAGATGATTCAATGTCAATTTATATTTATAATAAAGTTCACGTTCAGGACTTTATCAGCTGAAAACGCGTGACATTTATCAAAGGGATGCATCAAAGCAAAAATGACGACAGTGTATTTGCCGGTACACAAACACATTTCGCCTTGACACCTGTTCCTCGGCTGTCATACGAATGAAGCAATGTTTCCGAAGACCAAAGTGCGTTGGGGAAAGTGCCACGTGAATGAGTATGTTCGATTTTTTTTCTCTCCCAACTTGTTAATTTATTGAGTTCGTGAAAGGTGATCCAAACTGTGAACGTGCAGCAGTGGAGCGCATGCTCAATATTGGAAGAGCACAGAAAGTTCACATCCTAACAGGGGTCGACTCAGCCCTTCAGTCCTCCGAGGAAAATTAAATTGATTTCAACTCTACGGGAATCCTGAATGTTCATCTTGTGCCGAGGGGCTGTGGCCAGCAGCTGAGCACCACCGCATTGCCACTGGAGTGGGAATCCACTTGCAATTAGATTTGTATGATATTCATATTGATTTGTATGATATTATTATTGATTTGTTTGGTATTAATATAGATCTTTATGATATTAATGTTGATTTGTATAATATTAATGTTGATTTATGTATGATATTAATGTAGATTTTTATATTAATGTTGATTTGTGTGATAGAAATATTGATTTGTATGACATTAATGTTGATTTGTATGATATTAATATTGATTTGTATGATATTAATGTTGATTTGTATGTGATTGTTTATTTTTATATTAATTTGCATGATATTAATATTGATTTGTACGATATGAATGTTGATTTGTATGATATTAATGTTCATTTGTATGATATTAATGTCGATTTGTATGATATGAATGTTGATTTGTATGATATTAATGTCCATTTGTATGATATTAATGTTGATTTGTATATTAATGTTGATTTGTTTTTTTATATACAGTAGTGGCCCCCTATGAGACGGGGCATCTCGGCGTGCTCCACGCCTCATCGCAATCACGTGGGAAAGCCACGTGTCGTGGCAGCTGTCCTTGTAGGCACACGGTGGCTCAGCACTCGGCGTGCCAATGGACGTTGGTCTGCCAGTAGGGGGCAATGATTGTGATGTTAAGTTTCACAAACTTGTTACGTTTCACAAACTTAACGTGAACATTATTTGAAAGGCATCTCTTTGTGTAAAAAAAAATCCCGAGGAATAATAAGTGTGCTAAAGTTCATGGTTATTCTATTGATGACTCCAGTATAAAGTGCAAGTCGCTCTCAGCAATATCCTTTAAATTTCAGTCTTCTCAATATTTTGACTGCTGCATGTAAATATTTACGTCACCTGGAACACAGCCGTTCGACTCGAGGCGATTGTTTCCCAGAGCCTCCACCAGCCGTGGTCAGATTCCTCGGAGCAAAATCATTGCCAAATGCCCTCTCTGTGATGAAAACCAGAGCAGGTGAGAGCGTGCAGATGACGTGCAGTGCTTTGAAAACCACATGCTTTACCAAAGATGTCTCCACGAGGCTTCTGAGGTTCGGGGTCGATGCTGTTGCTCGCGTGGACGCCGTCTCCACCGTCCGGCCGGGGGGTCTGCCCCACGGCTCCCGTTCCAGCCGCAACGCCGGGCCCTGCCGTCACACCGGCTCCTCCCGTCCCACCGGCTCCTCCCGTCCCACCGGCTCCTCCCGTCCCACCGGCTCCTCCCGTCCCCCCACCTCCGGCACTCCCCCCACCTCCCACGCTCCCACCGGCGGTCCCCGCTCCGTCCGTGACCGTCGCTCCTCCGAGGGCCGTGGTCCCTCCGACCGCGTTGCTCTCCTCCTTGAGGCCCTTGCGGCCGGCGGGCCCCTCCGGCTTTCGGGGCGCGCCGATGAACGCTCCGCTCTCGTCGTAGTCGAAGGGCTGGAGGCCGGGCCGCCGCTCGGTGCGGGCCGGGGTGCGCGCGGGTGCCGCCGGGGGCGGCGGCGGCGGCGTGGGGATCTCGTTCCTGAGCTCATTGCGGTGCGGCCGGACGACGCTGTGCCGCCCGGTGACCAGGTTGCGCAGGTAGTGGCGGCTGCCGCCCCCGCCCAGGAAGACGGGCGAGGCGACGTTGGGGATTTCTGGCACCGCTAAAGAGCAAGGGGTTGGGTGGGGGTGGGCGGACAGCGGGAGTGCAATGTCACCCGAAGCTCTGCCAGGACCCAGGAACTCGAGGGCCTCCACCAGGAGTCACCAGCTGCTGTGTTCCACGCGCATTGCGTGGAACGGCGAGAGGCAACGGTGCAGCCCTGCAGTTGCCTGCTCACGCCACTGCTGTCAGAAGGACCTCGACGAGTAGAAAGCTCTGGGGAGCCCCTTTGGTGCTATTTTGGCCTACTCTTCCATGTTGGCCAGATATCTTGGAAGAGGTGCGAAACACCCACAATTCTAAAGTGTTGTTGTAAGCACCGTTCGTCAACGTATCCATGCGCGACCTCAAACGAATGATAATTGGCGCATCGTTAAGACGCTCGCTCACACGACATTATCATTCGTTTGGCTGTGTCGGGGTGGCGTAGCGTTTCGCGACAGAAATTTGACCGGATCATTATGTACGTACGTTTGCCTGATACAAAAATCGAATATATATCAAAGTAAGAGGTGTATTTTCTTGCGGGGAGGAGGATTGGGGGGGTGGGGGGTTGTGGTTATCCACTGAATCTTATTTGATATTTATAGAGCTCAAGGCGCTCTCTAAATATAAAATTGTTTAAAAGCAGTAACAAACATGAGAGCGATTTAGATGGCAGGGGCCGTGCAGGGGCCGAGGAATGAGCGACCGTGGGGGTCACGTGGGGGTCACGAAAGGGCAGCGGAGGCACGGCACAGAGCGGAGGGGTGAGGGGAGGGAAGAGGAAGGGAATGGGCGATGGAGAAGAAGTGGTGGTGAGGATTTGAGAGAGGACTGGAAGGTGGTTAAGGGGGGGGAGACTGCTTCATAATTAACGCTGCGGAGGAAGAGCTTCCTCTTCTTTCGTAGATGCAGGGAAACAGCCACAATTTTACATTCAACGTGGTCAAGCGAGATAACGTGGCTGTGGCGGCGGCGGCGGCAGGAGGCGCTCACGTGTGCAGTCGGAGCCGCTGCCACGGAAGCCCGGCTTGCACTTGCAGCGGTAGGAGCCGGGCGTGTTGTAGCACACGGCGTTGGCGTGGCACCTGTGCTTGCCCAGCTTGCACTCGTCCGTGTCTGTGCACAAAACCACTCACTCCGCGTCGACACGCGGGCAATCGAGACGGCCCACCCGCCCGCCCGGCCGCCCTTCAAAGCAGCCACCTCTGTTGCCGTGGGTTACGGCTTAGGGTCACAACAATTGTAAGGAGTTGCTTTGGCTGCTAAGACGGAGGCAGCGTTGTGCACGTGGGGCACATGTTCAGACTTTCATTTTTGTTTTGCTGGCATTCAAAATTAGTTTTTGAATCGTGAAGAACGTATGGATTGAGGTAAAAAAACTTTCAAGCCGTTCATTGTCCATCAAGTAATTCATGGCAATCTTTCTCAGTATTTAATGCTGCTTGTCAGCCCAATGGAACATTTGGGAATGTTTAATACAGTAGCAGTACCCATGAACCTGATTAAAAAGTTGAACACTCCAAAAGCATGTGGCTTACAGTTGCACCCACACCTACCTACAGAACACGAGCAATGCACACCTGTGCACACACTTACGCACACGTTTGTGATTAGCTGTGGAATTCAGCACGTCGTGGAGAGGTGCATTGAGTTACAAGATTCGTAGATGTAACCTCCCATTCCATCTCACACTGCTGCTACTGCATTTCTGCATAGTACAATCCTTAAATTTTACTATTTATTTATATACAGTGAGGGAAAAAAGCATTTGATCCCCTGATGATTTTGTACGTTTGCCCACTGACAAAGAAATTATCAGTCTATGATTTTAATGGTAGGTTTATTTGAACAGTGAGAGATAGAATAACAACAAAATCCAGAAAAATGCATGTCAAAAATGTTATGAATTGATTTGCATTTTAATGAGGGAAATAAGTATTTGACCCCTCTGCAAAACATGACTTAGTACTTGGTGGCAAAACCCTTGTTGGCAATCACAGAGGTCAGACGTTTTTTGTAGTTGGCCACCAGGGTTGCACACATCTCAGGAGGGATTTTGACCCACTCCTCTTTGCAGATCTTCTCCAAGTCATTAAGGTTTCGAGGCTGACGTTTGGCAACTCGAACCTTCAGCTCCCTCCACAGATTTTCTATGGGATTAAGGTCTGGAGACTGGCTAGGCCACTCCAGGACCTTAATGGGCTTCTTCGTGAGCCACTCCTTTGTTGCCTTGGCCATGTGTTTTGGGTCATTGTCATGCTGGAATACCCATCCACGACCCATTTTCAATGCGCTGGCTGAGGGAAGGAGGTTCTCACCCAAGATTTGACGGTACATGACCCCGTCCATCGTCCCTTTAATGCGGTGAAGTTGTCCTGTCCCCTTAGCAGAAAAACACCCCAAAGCATAATGTTTCCACCTCCATGTTTGACGGTGGGGATGGTGTTCTTGGGGTCATAGGCAGCATTCTTCCTCCTCCAAACACGACGAGTTGAGTTGATGCCAAAGAGCTCCATTTTGGTCTCATCTGACCACAACACTTTCACCCAGTTGTCCTCTGAATCATTCAGATGTTTATTGGCAAACTTCAGACGGGCATGTATATGTGCTTTCTTGAGGAGGGGGACCTTGCGGGCGCTGCAGGATTTCAGTCCTTCACGGCGTAGTGTGTTACCAATTGTTTTCTTGATGACTATGGTCCCAGCTGCCTTGAGATCATTGACAAGATCCTCCCGTGTAGTTCTTGGCTGATTCCTCACCGTTCTCATGATCATTGCAACTTCACGAGGTGAGATCTTGCATGGAGCCCCAGGCCGAGGGAGATTGACAGTTCTTTTGTGTTTCTTCCATTTGCGAATAATCGCACCAACTGTTGTCACCTTCTCACCAAGCTGCTTGGCAATGGTCTTGTAGCCCATTCCAGCCTTGTGTAGGTCTACAATCTTGTCCCTGACATCCTTCGAGAGCTCTTTGGTCTTGGCCATGGTGGAGAGTTTGGAATCTGATTGATTTATTACTTTTGTGGACAGGTGTCTTTTATACAGGTAACAAGCTGAGATTAGGAGCACTTCCTTTAAGAGTGTGCTCCTAAACTGAGCTCATTACCTGTATAAAAGACACCTGGGAGCCAGAAATCTTTCCGATTGAGAGGGGGTCAAATACTTATTTCCCTCATTAAAATGCAAATCAATTTCGAAAATTGTTGACATGCGTTTTTCTGGATTTTGTTGTTGTTATTCTGTCTCTCACTGTTCAAATAAACCTACCATTAAAATTATAGACTGATCATTTCTTTGTCAGTGGGCAAACGTACAAAATCAGCAGGGGATCAAATACTTTTTTCCCTCACTGTAGCTCTTTTCCAGAAGCGACCTGGCCGCAAATGATAACTCAATGAAGTGGCTTATCACGTGGAAATTTATAGCAGACAAACGCGTGATGTTGATTCTAATTGTGGAGGGAAAAACCGGAGGACCCGGAGAAAAATCCACACAACCATGGGGAGAGAGACACGCAAACTTGAATTAAACAGGTGCCAGGGTCGAACCCACGGCCTCCTGTATGTCAGGCGAGACAGTTAACATCTTTGCCACCGTGACGCCCCCTCGCCACCACGGCGCCCCTTCAATGATCCATCGTGGCGACAGAAACCCCCACTGCTGTGCTAACAGTCAAAGCGAGAAGGGTGCGAGATGAGGCTTTGTGTCGAGAGACCGTGTCGCTCACGGCAGGCCCAATGCAGGGATCTGCTGAGAATTATTTTTTTTAAATCCCAAAGCCAGGTGTGTGTCTGGTTTCCAAAAGCACTGCATGTGCGGTCAATCTTCAGTTACCCCATTGGCAACACCTGGTGTGAATGGAATATTTAGAAATGTCCAGTTTGGGTCACTTCACGAGAAGCTAAAATAGAGTACAGTGCATCCACCGTCAACTTTCAGGCATGGTTACCTGCCACAGCCCAGCGTTCCATTCTAACCGGAGACTGCAATGCACATCAACCAATTCATGGAGGAAATGAGGTTTGACGTAAAAGTATAAAACAGTGTGAAGGGATTTCTTTTTAATCCCTTCCCTGTACAGATGAGGGTGAAGGTGCAGCCCTGCCATTGCTTGCACACGCCACTGCTGGTGGAAGTGCCCTCCACTCGAACAAAGACCGCATCGCTCGTGCTTTCAGATGCGCTTCTGCGGCCGTCTGGAACGCTCTTCCTTCCAATATTAGGAAGCCACTGGGAACTATGCACTTTTAATCTACATTGAAAACTAATTTCTTTAGAAGTGCTTTTTGTGTTTAGTTTGTTGTCCTTCCCCCCACCTCGGATTAGCACGGTTGGCTACGTACGGCGCGAGAGAAGTTCAACGTGCGTACAGACAAGGAGATCTAGAGCCGCTCTGAGAGGGTACACTGTCCTACTCTTCCACGCTGACCAGACATCTTGGAAGAGGTGGGAGTAGCCATGCTTGACTCCATCACAGGTGACCCACCGGTCGATGGCGGCACACCCATGGCTGCATAACCGCCGGGTGGACAGAGGCAGGGGGAGTAAAGAAACCCGCCCATTGTTTTCACTGCCGCGCCGGGAGATGGACGCCTGCGGCCTCTCACCTTTGCATTGGTACTTGCCGCTGTGGTAGTTGAGGTCGTAGCCGTCGATGCACTTGCAGAGGTAGCTGCCGAAGGTGTTGACGCACTTCTTGTGACGCGGGCACACGGCCCTGCCCACCTTGCACTCGTCCACGTCTACGGCGAGACAAACGTGGCTCTCCTCAACGCGCAAACGTCTCCCACCCCGACAAGCAGCGGTGGTGCCGGCTCAATGGGGGCACGCAAAGCAGGAATCGTTCTTGGCCGCCTGACCAATTGGAGTATAAACTCCATCACGAAATGACGGAAGAGATGTAGACAGAAGTCAGAGATGTAGCGAGATGAGAGAAATGTGGACAGGAATTAGAGATGCAGCAAGATGAGAGAAGAGAGATGGAGATAAGACGGATGTAATGAAATGAAAAAGATGCAGATATTAAAGATGGAGTATGGCGGGAGAGAGAGATGCAGGCAAGATAGAGGTTGGAGAGATTAATATTCTCTATTATACAAATTAGGATTTTATATTTATTAGAATCTCAACTCGAGCTGACATTTGGTGCATCCCCATTTGTTCATGAATTTGGGGGCACTTGGGTTGCTTCGGGCCGTAAAAAGCTTTGGCTTGGCTTGGTTTGCTGATGGCTAGCACCACCACTGGTGACAAGTGGACGCGCTGTCCTGGATTATGCCATCATTCGGAAAGGAAGTTACTCTGACTTTTGAATAACGTCTCTATAGGCTGAGACAATGCTAACTACAGCGGCTGGTTTGAGAGGTTTTGGTGTCCAGGTCAAATGAACGGCTGGTGCTAAGTGACACTCTCCCAAACAAACACAGGGCTTTCCATGTGAACAGGAGATGTACATTAACACATGGGAAAAGGTCGAGTTGAAAGATTGGCTGTGAATATCAGAGAAAATACAAAGAGTTATACAGGTTCAGGCACAGGTGCATACTCATGTCAGAGAGACAGATCTGCAGACAAATAGACAAAACGTATTGTCATCTCTGCGATGAAGATTATATACACAACGCCTAAATGCCGCGTCGGAACAAAAGCAGTTTTCGCTGCATAGCTCTCCGACGGTTTTTGCGGGTTGTGCCGTGTGTGGTGTGGAAACGAATCCATTCCCAGAATAAGCTCCCAGAACGTGGAGCGAAATGTCGGACATTGTGCCAAACAACACGCGGTACAACCCAAAAACATGTCACAACCAAAAAACCTACACAGTATCTTCTGCTGTTATTCGGGGGGGAGAGGGGAATTAAATGTCCAAGATGTTAACTACCTCACCTGGTTTGCAGGAAGTCGTGGGTTCGATGCCGACCCTGACACCTGCTGTATATTTAGAGTTTGCATGTCCTCCCCTTGATTGAATGGATTTTTCTCCAGATCCTCCGTTTTTTTTCACTCCACATTTAGAATCAACATAAAGCGTTTAGAGTATTTGGCTGCTATACATTTCCACGTGACCATAAGCCACTTCGTTGGGCTATCAATTGTGATAGCCAGGTTGCTCATGAAAAAGAGCTGTATAGCTCAGTGGGCCTTTCCTGGGAGAATACAAACAGTAGTTTATTGTTTATTTTATTTGTATTTTTACACCCAAACCTAATGAGGCCAAGGGAGTTCCCACATCATTTATTTGCCTCCTTGGCCGGGTCTGCGTTGCAAGTTCAATTAAGCAGCAAATCCTTGAGAGTGGCACAGGATTAGAGGCAGCCTGAGCCAGCATAAGCCCAGGCACATGCACAACTGCTTTCACTGAGTGCATCCAGCTGAGTTTCACTTCTCAAAATCCTTAAGCTGTGCCCAAATGCAAGCAGTGCAATGGACTTCACCAGCAGGTGATCCTTATTAGTGGGTGAAGAAATGAACCGAATTAGAAACATTCCAATTCCTGAGAGAATTCACTCAGTAATGTACTCGGAATACTAAGAGTTGTTTGTTGTTGCAACTCATGGATTTCATCAACAATTAAACTGTGACTGTAACTTGAGTCTTGTCGTTAGCTTAAAAAGTATAATTCTGGAACTTAAGCTAGCAGAGCATCACCTTACCAAGGAAATAGATCAGTCCAGAAGATTAAAACAACACACAGATGTCCTCTTTAGTCAATTCTTAATGCCATTTTTGAACAACTCTCTATTCACTCGGTGTTACCTGGTTATTGTAAAAAGATGAACCATTTTATCCCTCGAATGTAGATGAGGCCAATGCAAATGAACAACTAAAATGACCTCATGTATGATTTCTACAGTTGCTGTCGATTGCACTGAGACTATGAACATGCTATGCTTGTTAATTTAATATCAAGTGGCAGTCTAGATTCAACTCAAAATCAAATCAGGAGCGAGAATAGACAACCATCCAATGAACCACACAGCCACTTCTACAAATGCTAAAAACCAACTTGCATTTCTCATGAACTCTGCCTTATGATAGAAATATATGAGGAAAAAAATAGGGTCATGATTTGGGGCAATGTTGCTCAATAACAGTTTCACCAACTTCTGTGATTTTGTGGCTTCCTAACCCCGTGACAACTGACCAAGTTCCAATACATTCTCCTTTGGTAAAAATCAAAGCCCACTGGATGCAGGTGCTCTTCAGGGGACACTCGTGACGTGGTTTAGGCACTCAGGTGGCTTAGGCCAGCTGACCAATGCTGCTGTGTTTTCAAGTGCAGCCATGTGTGGGACTGGAAAGTGAGAAGGGTGGGAAAGAGTAAACCACAAAGATGACAGCACGGGCTATATTTGAGATATTGCTATATTTACGGTGGCTGTTATGGAATATGGGCTAATGTGATCACTGCTTGCGCACGTGCATGTGAATGTAGAATGTATGCGTGTGCACATGTGGTTATGCCACTAGATTGAGTTGACCTAGGTGAGACCCAAGATCCATCCATATATGACGTGCCACTGATGTCAGCTGTGACTTGGAATCAAATCGAGGCCGCAGAGTTTATATGTTCAGCCTTAAACGAGTAGCCGGCGTGAGATATGCGTAAACGTCAGTACTCGGAAGGCAAAGGTGGTCCCGTGCTGGCCACACCATCTCCTCCGTGTGTCATTCCGGCCTTAATAGGTGCTCACTAACAGCACCCCAGCAGTCTGTTAAAGCTACTCGGGGAATTCATTTTTTGTGCACACAATAACACCTTTGAGAAGCTGTTACAGTCTGACCACAGCCACTGACTTTCAAGTTCTCAAAGTGGCTAAACCAAAAAATATTAAAACGTAAAAGTAGATTTACTTTCTGGTGAAAGGTGCTAATATAGCCTCTGCATATATATATAGAACTATACAGCCTTAAAGACCCTTATGTTATAACATGCGAAAGCACACCTAACTGCTAACTTGTCATTAATTGCCCAGAAAAGTTTCGAGTTTCGCTCATTGCCAACACTAATTTTGAGGAGGGGTTCTCTTTTTAAATGTCCATGTAAATAAACTTGCATGCCAGAGATAGCCCATGCTCAGAGGCAGCTCACTGCTGGACAATTTATTGCAACTTGGTCAGTGGCTGCAGCCAAGAAGCCAAAACATCCTGGCTGGGTGGTAACGCTGCCAATTGAAGAGCATTGCGTCAACATTATCAAATGACACATTTCTCTGTTATAAGGCTGTGAATGTTTTATGTATGCGGTGAGGATAACATTGGTAGAATCGGTTGTGTGGCTCTCAGGGCTAACGTCTATTTTGCGTACAGATTAGATTTCCGGTTCAGATCCAGGTCAAGAGCTGATACTAAATCAAGTTCTCGAGCAGGGTAATAATGTGTTGATGACCTCAGCACTAGCATCAATAACTCAAATGAATATTCATCATATACACACGGGTTAAAACTTACTTTTGGCCTGGTCCAAATCTGATGATTAACAAGTTCCCTCTGGTGCTGTTCAAAGAGGGCATTGCAAAGTGACTCCTTCACAGTCCACGTGCTGATTCATCTTTATCTGGAGTCATTCACTGGGCTGACGTGACACTACGGAATTTCTAAATAATACTATTTAACCTCCTATCATGTAGTTGAGGTATAAATGTTGATCAAATCCATATTACATATTTATAGATAAAAATATATAGACGATATACTGTCCGAGTACAATGTTGCATTATTTCTCTTTGTAATTGAAACGTTTTAATCCACTAAATCCCTTCACCCAGTAATAAGAATCACCAGCTGGTGAAGCCCAGACACCGAACCTTTCTTGCACTTGGGGCTCGGATTAGAGTTGACCAATCGCAACCTCAGAGCAGCGAGCAGGCGGCGCTCCGGCTCTACGCGATCCACCAACTCCGCTGCGCGTCGCCGGCACGCGGGCGAGGAGCGGTCCACCTCACGCGGCTGTGTGACGCCTGTCCGCGATGCGACGCAGTGGAAGTCGGGCGGGGGGAGGAGGAGGGGGGGAGGGCTCTCACCTATGCAGGTGCGTCCGTCAGGCCCCAGCTGCAGGCCCGTGGAGGGACACAGGCAACGCACCTCCCCGCCCGTCTCCTCGCAGCCGTGCTGGCAGCCGGCCATGCCGCACGTGCGCATGTCTTAGCAGGGGGGGGGGGGGGGGGGGGGGCACGTGGGGGGGGGGGGGGGCACACGGCCTGAGCCCTCGCGCCACGACACCCACGCCAGCCCGCAGCCGTGGCACGTGCTGTGGCGTGCTCTGTGTGTGGCGTGCTCTGTGTGCTCCTAGTGCGTGCTCTGTGTGGCGTGGCACGTGCTGTGGCGTGCTCTGTGTGCTCCTAGTGTGTGCTCTGTGTGTGTGCTCTGTGTGTGTGCTCTGTGTGTGTGCTCTGTGTGCTCTGTGTGCGTGCTCTGTGTGTGTGCTCTGCGTGCTCTGTGTGCGTGCTCTGCGTGCTCTGTGGCGTGCTCTGTGTGTGTGCTCTGTGTGCTCTGCGTGCTCTGTGTGCTCTGTGTGTGTGCTCTGTGTGCTCTGTGTGTGCTCTGTGTGGCGCCTCGCAGGGGAGCGGTGGTGGTGCGGTGACTGCGCTGTGCCATGGACCACGCTGTGCCGAGTTCAATTCCCACTCATGGACAACACCGGTGACGATTCTCTGAACCGGTCCTGGGCCTCCCCAAGGTCGACTCGGCCAAAAAATAGTCCAGTACCCGGTGCGATATGTACATGTCGTCACTAGGGAGACAAAGGCGGCCGGGCGTGGGGCTGGCCACCCACCCCCTCGTGTACCACAGTGCCGGCCTTCATAAGGTGCTCGCTAACAGCACTTGCCCCAGCAGTCTGTTAAGGCTACACGGGAGATCTGTCTTTGCGTGCCTGCCAAGCGTAGGGGTTAGCGCAATGCGCTCTAAACCTGGAAGCCCGAGATCGATTCCCGATCGCGGCTAATATCAGCAGTGATTTATGTGAAGTGGTCCTAAGCCATGTAAATCATCAGCTCCGAGGAGAGAGAGGCAGCCGGGCCTGGTCCTGACCACACCACCTCCTGTGCCGGCCTTCACAGGTGCCCACTGCGAAACTTGTCCCGCCATATACAGCTATATGGGGAACTTTGCCTGTGTAAGTGCTCACTTACACAGCACTAACAGCCTACTGTCCTTAAAGTAAAATTAGTGACCACTGTGTGAGCATGAGTGGATTACAAGTGAAGTCATCAGAGATGAGTCTGTCCCGTGCCAGCGAGATTTTGGCTGTGCATGTGGTCTCAAAGTGCACCTAACCTGGCACAACTAATGGCATGGCTGTCACATAATGCTGTAAGGTGTTCAACATATATATACATACATGTGTAGGGGTGAGTGTAAATAGTGCACGAACCACAACAACACAGCATCTCGAGTGACAGCAGACATTGACAAATTAATGCAGCTAGGATAATAATACCCACAACACAGTCCCATCATAATGATCATAGTAGTGTAGTCATCGTTTCTAATTTTGCAACGGTGTCACAATCATTATTACATGTATCATTGGTATCATTATAATAATTTGTCAACTTCTAATGAATGTATGTTGAACTTCTTTAGCACCGTACGTAGCCAACCGTGCTAATCGGAGGTGCAGGGGAAGGACAGCAAACTAAACACAAAAAGCATCTCTATGAACGGTGCAAATAAGTTCAACATACATACTCAGGAAATTAGTTTTCAATTTAGTAATAACTATCACCATGGTTACCTTTGCAATAAGCAGCTGTCTGTTATTCCACAGACTTTTCAAAGTGCTTGGAGGTTTTGAAAGTTCACGGCGTCTATTTAGAGCAGTGGCGAGTGCAGCTGCAAGTTCCTGGCACCGCAAAACCCTCGCCAATGAACAGAGAACAAACATCCAAACCTTTGCAAACTCTGTCAAAGCAACGAGATCCAATTGGGACGTTTTGGCAAAAATAAAGCGGTGGCTATTTTTTAATTTTATTAAAAACACTGCGTATACTCCGTGGTTGTACGAACGCGAGTACGTTTTGGCAACCGTTTTTTTTATATATTGAGGAACCACTCAAAGTGTGAGAATTCATTCGGCTGCGTGCATGAAATACATCTGTGGAGCAACACATTGGCCACCTCTCGCGGAGAGTGCGTTGGACCATTAGCACGTGGCAAGCAGAAGAGCAGAAGGTCAAACATGACTTCCATAAGTTTGCAAAATAAACACCGCTTGTAGAACAGGAGCGGCGTGGTCGGCCCCGTACAGCGCGAGGCTGTCAACAGCAGACGATCGTCGCAGAGGGCACCCGAGTCCCAGAGGTTAGGCGGGAGAGCAGCTGACAGTCTCGTGAACTCCGCTGCCAGTCACGTGAACTCCGCTGTCTGTCAGTCACGTCACGTGAACTCCACTGACAGTCACGTCACGTCTCGTGAACTCCGCTGTCTGTCACCTCACGTGAACTCCGCTGCCAGTCACGTCACGTGAACTCCACAGTCAGTCACGTGAACTTCACAGTCAGTCACGTGAACTCTGCTGCCAGTCAGTCACGTGAACTCCACAGTCAGTCAGTCACGTGAACTCCGCTGTCTGTCACGTCACGTGACGTGAACTCCGCTGTCAGTCAGTCACGTGAACTTCACTGTCAGTCACGTCACGTGAACTCCGCTGCCAGTCACGTCACGTGAACTCCGCTGCCAGTCATTCACGTGAACTCCGCTGTCTGTCACGTCACGTGAACTCCACAGTCAGTCACGTGAACTCCGCTGTCAGTCACGTCACGTGAACTCCGCTGTCTGTCACGTCACGTCACGTGAACTCCACTGTCAGTCACGTCACGTGAACTCCACTGTCAGTCATTCACGTGAACTCCACTGTCAGTCAGTCACGTGAACCCCGCTGACCGCGACCGCCGGGAACATCGCCCGACGCGGCACGGCCACACGCCGGGAGTTGGCGGAGTCCGTCTGGAGAGCGGTCTGCGTGCTTATTGCTGAGACTCACGGAAAGGGTCCAAACGGTTTGCCCACTCGCCTCGCTTCAGAATACTCTCGCACTATGATTATAAGAACAAAAACTCAACACATTTATCAATAGCACTGCCTTAAAATCAAAATATATATTTGATCGGTGACATTTCGGCAAACTGGCCTTCTTCGTAGCCACATAGTGAGGTTAAATCTACACAACATGCTACTGGTGTGGCCTGCACTAAATCGCTCGCGTGCTGCTGTGTATTTAAAGCTTCTGCCGTCACAATTTACGTGACCTTGCTGAGGGGGAGAAACAAAGCAGGCCAACAATTCCCATGTTTTATTTCCAAAACTCTGTGGGTGTCTCTTAGCCAAATAAAAATATATAAATATAAATACATGTGTCGGGGGTGTCCCCACATCCATGGGCATGCACAGTGGCAGCGAGAAGAGGCCCCCGGGAGAGTGACGGGCGCTCTGGGGGTCATCGCTCCACCTCTGCGCCGAGCCTCCCCCTGCCAAATGTTTGTTTACCCTGAGGCTGAGATTGCCATGGATATTGCACGGCACTCTCTCCGGTCAAACGGGACCCTGCGAGGCATCACGTCCTGCCTCAGCTCGGCTTCTCAGGCCCATCGCCCTGAAGACACTCAGCTGGTTCTGGTGCCTGCGGGCACGGCCACTGGAACTGGTTTTACATTTCGTTGTTTTTTGTTTTCTGTGAAATGTTGTTATTTTTTTTCCCTCGCCGTGCGCACAGGATAGCTCTTGAGTAGCCACTGAACCACTCATCAATTTGTTTGTGTTATTGTTGTTGAAATGGAAACTTGGACGGGAACATGTTGTGTCAGTGAAATAGAGATTGCTTTGAGAAAGAAGTAAAAAAAATACATGAAAATTGTTTTAGAAAGTGAGAACGAATATTAATACAGTATGAATAGCATGACTTGAAGAATGTAATTATAAAATATTAAGCGTGGAATTTATTTCGCTTGTACCGCTTTCACCGTGATGACTGAACTGATAGGATGCCATTGTGGTGAGATGTTAACTCCCTTGCCTGGCATGAAGGAGGTAGTGGGTTCGATTACGACTCTGACGCCTGGAAATTTGGAGTTTGTATGTCTCTCTCCCCGTGGATTTTTCTCCGGGTCGTCCGGCTTTTCCTTCCACATTTAGAATCAACATCCCACGTTTAGAGTGTTTGGCCGCTATAAATTTCCACGTGATGATGATGAGCCAATTCGTTGAGCTATCACTTGTGGCCAGGCGCTTCTGAAAAAGAGCTACGTCGCTCAGTGGGCCCTAACTGCTACAATAAAAAAATTGTTAAATTAATTGTAAAAAAAACTAATTAGTTTTAGTGGAAATATCAAAAAACTATATTATCTAAGTGTTAACAGAATATTCTCGGTTCTTTCGGTAAAGTCACGTAGAAAAGAAACAATAAAATAAATATATATTTTAAATATTATTTTATTGTTTCCCTTCTACGTGACTTTACCGAAAGAACCAAGAATATGAATCCCTGCAGTAACGATAGCTTTAAATCTAAATGTTAACAGAATAACAAGATAAACCAAATACTACGCAGTTAACAATTCACCTGCTTAGCGCTTAGCTCTCACGTTCCACCAGACAGAAACCCGCGGTGCTGGCGGCAGGCACGGAGTGGCTGATGTCACCACCCCTCTGTCAGGGCCCCCACTGACAATGTGAGGACCCACGACCATCGTCCACGAGTGTGCGTGGCCTCTCCAGGGTGACCAGAGCATTCCATGCGGGGTGGCTCCCCCGTGTAGCCACTCAAACCTCCCCCCCCACCCCCAAGCCCTGTCCATGCATCCTACTCGTCGCCATCATTAACATTGTTTTCACTTTTCGTTGGCAGTAAAGGTCAACCCTAACCAGGGCCAACCGGCCATGTCGAGTCAGCTCCCCACCAGTCCCATTGGATCAGATGTGTGAGCAGTGGTGGGTCCAAGGGAGGGGGGCGATGGGGGTGATTGATTGCCTTCTGAACACCCACCCCTGAGACCTGGAAAAGTAATGTTTAACGATATTTACCTAACAAAATACATTGAATATTTGTGTTATTGTTATCATTCATATACTGTAGAGCCCTATTTAAAAATCCTGACATTTCAGGTGCATCGTCCCCTGTGCTTGGGAGCGTTTCTCGATCCCT